TTTTTTTTTTTTTTTACGGCAAGTAAAAAATGGAAACCAGGGAGGTAGCGAAAACGTAACAATCGGTCAACGTCACCCGTGAAAGCTTGCATTGATAACACTACATTGTGTTGTCTCTTATCCATTAACAACAAACTAACAACTCCATCAGAATCCCTCTTCACATTCTTTTGCATTTTTTTGAAAAATAAAGTTCCAAAGTGTAACTCTTTTTTTGTCTGTTTATTTGTCTCATGTATGGAAATAAGAGCTTTACTAGGCCTGAAAGACGTATCGGATGATGACGAAAGCACCATAAATAAAATCTTCAATAAAAGTTACATTTGCATTATTGTAATGATTAAAACGTGTGGCAAGATATCGTCGTAAAGATGTGCTTCATATGTACGTAAAGCTACATCTCTTCTATATCTTTCGTCTGTTTCCCTCTCCGTCTCTCCGCCTCTCTCTCTCTCTCTCTCTCTCTCTCTCATTCTTTTGTTTGCCTTATTTGAGGGCAATCATACCATCAAATATGTACATGGCCTCACTCGTATGCTATGTACACATTGTTTGCAAGATACCTGCTCTTCACAATTAGCTAGATGAAACTGTTCTACGATACCTGGCTTAAAATCACTGGCATATTTCTTTGTGTACATGTACACCCTGGCCATCAGGGTTAGTATGCAGAAGATCCCAATCTGCATGGGTATTCAGCAAATAATCCCAAGACCCTAGTACTCAGGCTACAAATACGGTGACTAATAGAGCAACGCAGTAAATGTGCAATATATTGGGAATATGCGTGGGCAGTGGCTATTCTATAATAATAATAATAATAATAATAATAATAATAATAATAATAATAATAATTTTTCCTTTTTACCACATTAAGCAAGTCTTCTTAACATTTGTTTAAAATCATTTAAGAAAATCTTGAAGCTAGCGACTACTTTAAATGCAGGTAAAATATTTGATGTTGTATGTTAGAGAAATTAAATTAGAAAAATACGTCTGTTCACATATCAAATTCTTTTACCTCAAATATGACTAATTAAAAGAAATAAATTCCATTCTTGTGGAAAAAATTTTAATTTGATTTTAAGTTTAAAATGTTTTGAATTGCTGCTGTAGCTTCCTTTGAATAAACTTAACGACATGGGCCAGGTTATATTAATAAGTATTTGATGATGAGTCTTTCTATGAGTCATGAATTACTTTTCTCTCCCTCATTTTAGCCCACTTGCCACAAAAGTTATCGTAGTGTTCCCAAATACACTAAAGTGAGCACTTTACACAAGATCACACTGAAAGGAGACTATAGAGTACCACTCGAAACTCACCATGTATAGTGAATTTGAAGTATTACTCTCACATAGTACAAATGTCATAATTCCAGATTGTTAAGTTGTATATATGCATGTATGTTTACATGTGCTACAGTTATTTAGAAAACAACTATATGCCTAGAAACCTTTGCGGACTGATGTGGTGGATCTTTATCAATACGAGGGAAAGGGCAAAATTTTATTCTCGACTTTTACCTTTTTACTCGTATTTTCAGGAAGCCCTCTTCAGTAAAAAAGTCTAGAGATGTTTGTGTGAAGGTGTGTAACAATTAATCGTGGTGTGTTTTAACACTGACATATTTTAATATCAAAATGGGTATATTTGATGTGATTTAATTTTAAGAGTGTAACAGGTTTAGCAGTAAACACACACAAACACACACATACACACGCACACACAACACAGAGAGAGAGAGAGCTAGAGAGATCAAATATGACTAATCAACTTCCTGTCATAAAGGTTGGTATGTCTTATCTTCCACTGCGTCAAATTGGAGGGGGCTCGAGTGATTTGCCGATGATCATAATGATAATTAGCGATGAAGTATGGCGATGAGCTCTCATGTAAATAATAGACTAATTATTCGGCTATGTAATACTGTGAAATGCTTATTGCAATTTAGTATAGTAAGTGACACTGGACAGTACGGACTTGAACCGTTCCTCATTTGTACAGGTAGGTAAGAAATAGCTATGGTAAACTCGTTTTGTAGATGGGTTAACTTTATCTTAAGTTGACTTGGTGTTAGATTCGGTGCCTTTATAACTTTTAGTAGACGAATATCCGTTCCATTGCAAACGATTCGTTATTTAAGCGAACATGATTGAACATTATATTTATATTATAATGATATACTGTATTTTTACATCCCTTCATTGATTTAATTTATTTCAGTATTAAACCGATATAAGAACAGCATTGACAATGGCCTTTGAAATCTGGATACCATTGCAAACATATGCATGTTTCTCTCTTCTATTCCTGTACGCACAGACGGCGTCGGGGGCCGTGGCGAACATTCCAACCGTAGTCGGCCAAGACGTCACTCTCACATGTACCTTCGCCATCACAAGTGGAAAAGTGATCTTTTGGGAAAAAGATGGCATTAAACTTTTCGCAGAGGATGTTAAATTGGTCACCGACACCGAAAATAAGTACTTTTTAGTAAGAGGACGATTGTCGAGTGGAGATAACGTGTATAAATTAACGATAGGGAACATTGTTGCGGAAGATGACGGGATTTACGCTTGCTATTACGCAGACGACACGGCGAACAGACAAGAAACGCAGATTACCGTCTTAGGTAAGTTTAGAATGAAAGTCTTTCTCGGTCTTACAGCGAAAAGGTTGGGCCTTTTCAGCTGCGGATATCCGTAATTTTTATGTTGAGTTTTCATGAATGAATAGGCACCCGTTACACTTTTGATTATTTCCAGATATAGATTTCCAGATATAGATTTTAGATTAGGCACTTTTCCTTTGCGGTTTTTTTTTTTTTTTTCTTAAAGCATGCACGTTTCCACAGAATCACGAGCATGTTAGATTTTTTTTTATCTCTGATAATTTTTTTTTCGTTAGTGCGTCCCGATCCACCGGTCATCTCCGGTCCAGCTGGGGTCAATGAAGGCAGTCTATTGGACATAAAGTGCTCTTCGGATGGTGGTAAACCAGAAGCAGTTATAACCTGGTCTATGACAAGTAAGATGTCAGAACTTTGCTTGGTTATGTAGCTGTACAAAGTATCATTAACCATGGAGTTACAACAGAACTCCTTGCATAAACTTTGTGAAAACACCGTATTTTTTCAAAACAATTTTTAAAAATACCCCCGATTTCTTTTCGCCGTACGTAAACCAAAAATTGTTTCAAATCATTGCATAGTGACGGAGCAAAACAGGAGATGAGACAAGGATTCCTACCTTGTCCAATACAAATTGATAGCCCTATTTAATCTTTTTCTGACAATTGTGTAACACCTTATGATTTTTTTTACCTTGTATCCAGTGCTGAACAGTACGGTAACTGACATGACTAGTTACGCCGTGGATGTAACGGACACCAATAATGACGGCACGTTCTTGGTGAGGAGCAGGCTGCTGGTACCATCCACTTCCAGGGAAATGTACAGAGCCGTTCTGTCCTGTGTTGTCTCCGTGCCGGCTTTACTGTATGAGGAGACCGAAACTTACAGTGTCAATATGAACGGTATGTAAATCCAAACCGTCAAATTTTAAAAGCAGCTTGGTTATCTTTCGTGTTCTTGGCAATTCTACTTTATCATTTTTTGATTTAATCATTTTTTAAATTTTTTATATATTCATTTACTTTATTTTTGTGCGGGATTAGATAGAGGGTTGCAGTCAGCAGGTTAATTTTTTACTGCATTTGTGTAACGCAAATGTTCTTGTTTCGCCATTTATTCATGTAATTGAACTTTTCGATATATGTAAATTATGTAATTATAGAGAGAGATTGCAATTTTTCCTTTGTAAGAAGACTTCTGTATGTCAGTAAATTTATTCCAGTCTCACCATTGCCACCAGTCATCGTGGGGGCTGAGAACGGTGTGGAAAATGGAACCACACTAATGTTACGTTGCTATGGTAACGCCGCCAGTCCACCTCCGACAGTAGAGTGGCATCATGACGGGGCTATCATGAACGGCCTTGCTACGTCTGTACAGAACGCTAACGGGACATCTAGCGTCAGTAACCTGATCTCTATCACGGTGACAACAGCAGACCAGGGTGAAGCGTACCTGTGTGTCGTGTACAATAATGTCAGCAGACAGCAGGGCCGACAGTTGGTAGATCTGCGAATTTTGGATGTGCTTTGTGAGTATAAAAGGTTTTAATGTGTTTCTTAGTAGAAAGATATTAACGGGCAACATACAACTTTGGTTCGAAAAACCTTACGTAATGATTTACTCACTGTAATTGCATACTATAATATCCTTTTTATTATGCCTTTCAAAAAATGTTCTTTTTAATTAAATGGAAGATGAGCCAACGGCATATCTATCTAGCGCCAGCAATTCTCTGGCTGAAGGACAAAATACCACTTTGACCTGCATGGTGGACGGCAATCCAACTCCGACTGTCACGTGGCTCCGTAATGACGTCACAATTGACGTCAGTGATGGACGATATTCACTTGCCAACAAGACAAACTCGACGACTCTTCACATCAGTGAATTAATTAAGTGAGTTAGTGTCTAAGTGAATAACTTTATTTTCGTCGTATCATCATTGCCTAATTTTGAATTTATTTTACGCTTTAATTTTGCCAAAGAAAGTTTTCCTTAAAAGAGCATACTCAACTCTAAAGAGATTGCTTATGATGATCGTTTGTGAATACATGATCTGCAGTTAAAAGAAAAGTGTTTTACAAGTTTTTTTATTACAAGTGCTTTTTAATATTCATATTAGTGTTGATGTCGGAGCGTACAGATGTCAGGTTGACAACCAAATTGGAACTGCAGTCAGCAACAAAACCGTGTTGAATCTTTTACGTAAGTGTTGAGAAATGGAAAATACTTAAAATACTTAATACAGTTAGTAAAGTTTGTGCGGCTAACTTTAAAAAAACGCAATATTTACCCTAATGAAAGCATATTAGTTCCATATTTGTTGTTGCTGTTATTTGTTCTTGTTGCTAAATCACATTAGAGTGATAGGGAAATGTGTCAGAATGTGCACGAATACGTTACTTCTCTCGGCAAACAATACAAAAGGTTATAATTTTGATGTCAACATTTTCAGACAGACCAGTTTGTCGGTCAGATCAACAACAACGTTTTGGTGTGAGTATTGGGGAAACCGTCATCATCAGCTGTCACGTTGACGCTAACCCCAACAACAACGTGAGTTTCGTATGGAGAGACGCTAGCATTGGCGGAACGGTACTTAAACAGATGAAAGGCGTCGCTGTGATGAATGACATGTATAAGGCACATGCTTCTATAAGCTATACAGTGAGGTAGGTACATGTGTGTGTGAGTTTCATTCAAACATGACCTTTGATTAATTTATCTGATTTATTTTAGCAGTCTTGAAGTTTTTATCCTTTCTTTAATTTGTCATAAATGTACAAACCTGTGTATTTTAAACTCTTACATTATACTTGCAGGACATTAACTGACTATAAAACTCTCTTCTGCAACGCATCCAACAGTATGGGAGGAATGAACATTCTTTGTCCATTTTTCATAGTGCAGCCAGGTAGGTGCCTTTAAATTAATATTTATAATTGTAATCATGGCAACTCTAGCAGGAGATAAGGACCGAAAAAAATCTAGAAATGTAGATAAATTATACGATTATATACAAATGATATGTTATAAAAGAAAGGTTACTTTGTTTTAGGGCCGCCAGACGCTGCGACTCACTGTCAAGTTTACGGTGTCACCCAGTCGTCTCTAGTGGTTAACTGTTCGGCAGGCTATGACGGGGGCTCTCCTCAACATTTTCTCCTGCAGAAGCGCGTGGGACAAGGGTTTTCCACCATACAGAACAAAACGTTGCCCTATTTTGAAGTTAAAAACCTAGAGAGTGGACAATCACACGACTTCAAAGTGTGTGCCTCTAATCAGAAGTTCCTTAACACAATTGTGTGCACCAGTCAATTCTCCGCTAACACAATGGATGGGGGTAAGCCGGTGCATTAACCACACCTGTTAGAATTGACGGGTGTTCTTTCCATTTTTCACTCTCAGTTCCATTTATTTTCATGAGGTATTGTACTGTTGATGAAATTATGAAATTATGAAAAGTGCTGAAAAAGCAGAAGGACGCATTTAGAAAATTTTATCGTATAAACAACCGGCCCTAAAATCTTTATACCCTCCTTATTTCCAAATTAAAAATATTATAACATTAAAATAGAAGCTAATGATTATTACTTCAGCAATCTGAGGTCCTGTATTTACGTTAAGGATCAGCTACTTTTCAAAGGAAAATGCATTTGACAACGTTGAAAAATATTTCATATAACGTCTACCATTTGAATTTAATGACAACTCGTAAGGGATATTTTACTTTTTTAATGTATCCTATATGGTTGATTCGCATAATAAGATGTTGTTTAAATATTTTAGATAACAAATCAGGTGAAGGCGAGGCACCAGTAACGGTTGCCACTGGAGCACAGACCGAAGATTTTATGTCGAAATACCTGCCTTATATTCTACTCGGCGTCGCCTGCTTTATACTACTGATAGTCCTTGTTTCCATAATAGCGTATTGCGCATGTAGGAAAAAGGTAAAAATGATTTGTGTCTTCATATTCAATTTGCGGTTTATAAAAGAAGAAAGATAAAGTAAGATAAGTATCTGTTAAAGTACGACAATATTATGGGAAAATGGTGATGAAGATATAGTGGAACGCACTTTTTGTCTGTATCTGTTTGACAGGTACATGTAATATGGCTTTGGTCTAGATAAGTAATGATTTTGACATTTTCATGTTCAGAAAAACGCCGCCAGTTTTCCAACTGTAAAAATTGAACAGGATGGAGAGAAAGGAGATGTTCAAAATACTGAGCTTATCCTCAAAGCTTCAAGTGGTAGTCCAGAGACGAAGATCAAAGGTTTCGACAATCTGGCTGCTGAGTATGACGAGGACGTGGAAATGTACGAAAAGGCAATAGAAGAAATCGACGTTGCTATAACATCACACGAAAACAAAAAACCATTGACCACACAACAGAACAAGACGGACGAGAGCGGTAAGAATGATTGATTGTTGTTTCTGGTATTTTCAGATGTGTCTGCTATACGATGCAACAACTAATTAATTTGAATGTAACGTGTGGCGTGAAAAATATCCCATCCCTTTTTAACTATTCTCTGATTAACTAGTGTCGAATATGACCTACGCAGTCTTAGACCACAAACATTCTTATCTGTTTTAAACAATCTTTGTTTTACCAAAAGCATATTAACATTACAACAATCCACGTGACATGTGTTTCTTTTCGAAATATTCAATATTATAAACGGAATTGTTTTTACCAATTTTCCTGTAGACCTAGACTCAAGGGCTGAAGGAAGGCGTGAAAGCATTGCACTCATGGTGGAAGAGACTGGAGGCCAGCGAGAATCATTATACGACATTTTGCCTAGTAGAAGGAATAGCGCTGCTGTCCACATTATACCGGAGATGACGCTGGTAAACATAGAAAACGAAAGCGAAACTAGTAAAAACGGTCCTAAAATCGACAGTGCCGTGAGTCTGGCTGCTGCGGCCTGTATTGTGCAGGATCTGCTAAACAAAGAAATGCGAGATACCAGAAAAGATGAAAATGGCACAAAACATGCCGCCGCGGAAGACTCGCTTCACTCAGAGAACAAAAAAGACGATTCAACCTCTTCAGCCTCCACGTCGGATGATGACGATGATGCAAACCTCACAGAACTCAGAGAGGACAAGGTCACTCCACTGATCGAAGCACTTGTTGTTGGCACTGTTGTTGAAACATCTCAGCTCCAGGCGAAACGTCAAGACAGTAAAGGTAGCAGCAACGACGGTAGTGGCAGCAGTGATAACGGCAGCGACAGTGATGGAGAATCTGACAGTGACAATGAGCATGAAGGATCATATTCACTTATTAACGAGAATGACACAGTGGTCACTGAGGCGGCTATCGACGCCCAGGAAGAGTCCAATGTACAAGATGGGATGGGAACAGTCTTAGAGAAAACTTGTGACCAAATTGAAGAAAAGGCCAAGAGTTCCGCTGACGATGAATTAACTACTGATTCTGTGTCAGAACAGGACAATGGGCTTAATAGTGAAGAACAGAAGCAAGAAATGGAAGTACAGAGTGCCCAGGAGTTGGAAACAAGTACCAAAGTTATGATTAATAACCAACGATCAACATCATACTCGGTGTCCAGTTTGGAATCACTTAAAACAGAAAGTGATTCTTCCTCCTCTTCTTCCTCTGAGGATGGAGACGGTATTCAGTACGACTTCAAACTAACGACGAAAATTAAAAAGGAGGCTGAAAAAGCAGAAGGGGAAGAAGAGACAAAAACTGGATCCAGTGGCACAAATGCCACATGCTTGAACATCGAATCGTCTCTTTGATTATGTCGTCTTTCTGTCATTAAAATTTACACCCAGAACAGTAAAGTGGAGGTTTGGCATCATTAAGGCACACAGAAAAGACAAAAATGCTCATTTGCCCCGGATTAGATATCATGATAATTCAAATACTATATAAATTAATAATTCTGCATAGTTGGATTTCTTTCATAAAATGTTCATAGCGGTATTTCTGTAGTCCTATCACAAGGGTATAGTCCTGGTATAATTCCAATATAGCGTACATACATAAGATATTGTGTAACGTTGTTTCTCGATGTAAACATTTTTTACTCGTAGAAGAAAATATCTTTTTGTCCTTCTTAGAAAATAATATTATTCATATTTATAATATATAAATAATATTATTTATATTTCATGTTCGTATGATTTAATGTGGAATATTATTCATGATTAAAGTAGAGTTTCTTTCTCTTTAAAAATACACTTGCTTGTATGACGTAGATAGCATCCCATAAAGGATAGGATAGTAGGCAGTGGTTAAAATTTCAGTCTCTCACACCACGGACACTAAAGCACACATAAAGGTGGAGGAAGGGTTCGAATTTCACCTATACCAGTAGCTTAAATGAATGGAAAATAGGAAGTGAACAAGCCTACATCGTGAATTGGGTTATCAAGTGATAAAATTTTTAGAAATTGTTCTAATACCCCATAAAAACACACAAAGAAAATAGAAACGACATGTTACATACAAAATGTATTATTTTGGATCAGCAGTAATTCATTCTAATAATTCATTTAATTTTCTAAAAGGAATGACTGCCGCTCGTGATGTTTTAAGGTTTAACGACCCACGATTTCCTTTCATTAATTATCGCGAGGACAGCAATCCTTTCAAGTTTATCTCAACTTGCTATATGTAATTCGCATACATCGAGTAACAAAAACCGAAGCAGTGTTTCTAATGGCTGTGCTTGTGTTCCTAGCTTTGAATTGACCATTTATCTCTCAAAATGCAGTTCTTACAGAGATAACTTCACCAATAAGCTATACGTGCAAAAATCAGCACCATTGAATGTAAAAGAAAATAGGCAATCCTGCTCTGAGTTTGGTATGCAGATTTCACTCCAGTATTTGCGGAAGTTTGGGTTGAAACTTGCAACACAACCAGTGTTTGCCCTGTCACGCTCTCGGACACAGTGGAAGCTGGCGTGGAAGCTGACACAAATTGAAGATAGATTTTTCAGTTTTAATAATAAATATCCATTGGGCATTTATATTTATTCAAGATAAAAGAAACTTTTAAAATACATATCTTAAGCATAGTAACTGAGCACATGTAATTTAACGTTAATAACGCACCTCTATTTAATCAGTACGTTATATGTATATAGCTAATTGATTGATTAATTATCAACCATGAAATCATCTTAATTATTAAACAAACCGAGACACTATTTTGCACTTACTTTGGATGTTGACGGATGGGGGTGCTCTAGACGAGGTAGCCTGGGATGGTGAACCGGGGCGAGGTTTTTTAGGTCGCCTTGTTGGTGCTGGGGGTGGGGGGCATGCAGTGGTGTTAACGTCTGGACAGCTTCCATCTGGTGTAACACCTAGATACGATATCATGCGTTGAAGAGTAGTGTGTGTGTGTGTGTGTGTGTGTGTGTGTGTGTGTGAGAGAGAGAGAGAGAAAGCTTCCTATGAATTAAAATACTACCTTCCCCCTAAGATCCTAAGATGGTAGCTATTGCATTGTCTACAGACATTGTGAATTAAATATAATAATTTTATTATTTTTAATGATAATGTTTAAATGGAAACTAAAAATGATAATATTATTATAATATTATATATATATATATATATATATATATATATATATATATATATATATATATATATATATATATAATCATTTTTAGTTTTCCAAAAGTACTTTGAATGCGTTAACATCATTAAGAATATGAAAGATATTTTGTTTAAATTTTCTTTTCATCACCAATATAAAGCGTCTTTTTTTCTTTTGATGACCAAGAATCCAAATGATTGATTTCACTTAAGCGTATTTTTAAAATTATTCTGGAAATAAATGAGTCTGTTAGACAAGACACATTGTGACATTGCTCAACAATACCTCCTGGGTATAGGTTTCCGTCGCTCAACCCACAGTGGTTGACGACGGCGTTAAGATCATCGCTCTCCGCAGCTACGGGAACAAGATCTCCTGGTTCTTTCAGAAATGCCGTAACATTTTTTCCGATATCAAATTTGGGCGTAAAACCATCGATAGTTGGACCTTAAATATTGAAAAGAAATAAATGGTGAAAATTAAATGAAATGAGCATGTTATCTATACTATCCTTTACTAAGTGGTATAATTTGTTGCACAGATGTTTCATAAATAAAACAATTCAAAATTGTAGGGGACAAAAAGACAACAAAATTCACCAGTCTTACAGTTACACTTCTCTGAAGTCAATCTAGCATTCTTTCACTATTCCAGCAACAATTTTCCTCCAAACTGCTCTACTTACCTACATTTCGGAGCGTGATCTGTTGCTTCGTCAATGAGCCTTTAAAGACACAGTAAACACGGAATTCAACAGAAAATAAATTTGTCCTATTTGTCGGAGTTTTGGTTAAGGGCACCCCATAAGCGATGAGTCCTGCCACTCTGACCGCACCGTCCAAATCGCTGTTTTGCGCCAAGGACAAGCAGAGGTGAGAACCAACCAAAAAAGCAAGAAACAAGAGACAAGCGCCCATGCTCCAGTTCAATGGTGATATCGCACTAAGTGGTGTTTTTATGTACACTGGTGAACCTTTAATTTTAAAGTGATGAAATTCCTAACATGCCCTATACCATGTAAGCTACTGGGTTATCTTATTCGTAAACTTGAGTATTACTCAGAGATAACAAAGTTAGCGGACACCAAACGCATAGCCCTTGAATAAACGCGAAATTTTCCAATTGCTTTATATTTTAAGTACGTTATAGGGCATATAATAAGATATGGTGACAAAGTGAATATATATGTCTATACTACACAATTTCAAAATATAATGAGTTGTTATGTCTATCTACGGTAAAAAAATTTAAAGCCTATATTAAATGAAAAAAATGAGAATTCGCCAGTATGCCCGAGTCAAAAAATATATATATATATATAATAATAATAATAATAATAAATTAAATAATAATAATAAATTAAATAAAACCCTGTTTTTTTATACACAGCAGTATGGATATCACCATTCTTTTCCAATTATACCAATTATATATCTTATTTTATAATAAGAAAGGTAGATCATCTCAAGGATAGGGCAAAAACTTTTGAAAAACTCAGTGTTTGTTACCTAGTTGAGTCACCTAGTTGCCAAACGTATGACCATGCGTGCAGTGAAGAACAAAACACGAGCTTAATCTTACAATCTTTGACCGATACAAGTTTCCAATACAGTCTATCCAAAGGTTAAAGGTGATTTATCTATTAATAGGTTATGTTTACTTGGAGGGTGTCTTAACAAGACTTTAAAAGAAAAGGCGCGTAATTTACTGTATCACACAATAATCAAAATCTCGTTTAACTTTTTTCAGATTATTTCAGTGCCTAGTAAAAATAATCGAGCATCATTAATTCATCCAGGGATATTTGCATTTAAGTTATTGATTTAAATAAATGACGAGATATGATTTCCTAGAATGCAGCTATATTAAACAAGAATTATGTAGAATAAAAGTCTCAGTAATCCGACTAAGTCTGCCTGAATATCAGTTCAACCAGGGTTAATATATTATACTGCACAAATGTGTCTGCGCTACTATCAGGACTATCAGGAGGGTAACGGTGATACTTCATTGCTAATGACAAACTTAATCTACAGGCGTGATAAAGTAGCCCAAGTCTTTCAGAAAACTTGATAGCAAAGACAAACAGAACTTCTGCAAAAAGAAAGAATTTGATTTAGGGAAGCCTTTTCAAGTGGGCGAGGCTCACTTTTTATTATGATCACTGGTGGTTTCCCGGCGCTCTGTAGGATTGACTAGACCGTTCATACAGAACCCAAATGTTTGACAAGACATCCGATTTATTAAACTTTGCCCAGCACCCACAAGTTTTCAAAACATTTTACAGCCCATGTTGGAATTAACGAGAGAAAGAAATAATCTAAATCACGTTGGCTGTACATATCCCTTTCAATTGTCGTTGATACGTCTGCAAACCTCTTATACATGTTCATAGAAATAAACAGTCAGCTTTTTTTTTCATTTGTTTGACGGACTTTTCGGGTAACTACCATAGGTGCCATGTAGTTTACGATTGTGTAAAACCATGGCCCTGACTAAAAGTATGTCCACCTGAATCAAGGGGCAAACAAACGATAAATAACATAAGTAACGCTTTGACAAACATAAAGTGGATTATTGTATAAATTTTCAAATACATAACATCTTTATTGCTGATCCCTGCAATAAAACCTGGTAAAAAGGTAAATTTAAAAACAATGTTTCTAAATCCACATTCAAAATCGTATAAGGCAAGCTTCGCCTATTTTTTTAATGTTTGTCTCATTAGGTAAATTTTGTATCTTTGGAATTCGATGGAAAAAGTCTTCTTCTGTCCACTGTAACAAAATCAGACGGATTATGACATCGTTTAATAGAATTTTGAATAACATGCATTAAATCTACACGTTAGTCACATTTATCGAGCATTAAAATGGAATGAAAGTGATGAAGTTTATCTTCACGCTGTTATTAATCACAGAAGTTTCAGTAATTGTTTTGGCTGATCAGAAAACACTGCAGTGCCTACACAAGAGGAATTCTTCTCCAAAGATCATCTTTACAATATCGCACCATCAAAAGCAGTATTCACGTGAGTCGTTACAATTTCATTTTGAGCAGGCGGGTGCAAACCCTCGTTTAAAGACGGGTGTAACAAAATTGGCGTTTCGTGATTTTCAGTGACGTTTTCACCAAACATGGCGTCGTATGTAGGGGGATACTGGTTCGAAGCTGGGTCCGGGTCCTCCTGGATCGACGCTTCCCGCGTTATTTCCCAATACGGAGGAGGTGGCGGGGTGTGGAAATGCGATTGTTGATCACAAGTACAACCACACTGACAACCACTTTCACACCTATCGCAATTTGTCGTGATGACGGCAACGTTGGTGTTCTGTGGAGTTACGCAGTCATTCTGTCCTCTACATCCTGAGCAAGATTGTCTCTTTTTCGCATAGGCTTTTCGCATTCGGTATACACAGTATAATCCTAGACATATAAAAAGTCCTAGCAAAGCGATACAGCACCCCACAGCAGTGAAAACTTTGCTCACAAAAACTTTATCCATTGGCACTTTTACGAATGTATAAGATGACGGTGCTTCTGGATCCTTTCAGGTTTAATGATTTATAAATCTCCTGACATTACAATGGAAATATCTTGATAACATTGTTATCCAAGCGTAGATTCAATCACGTTTCCTTTCCCTTTTATCCGCTGCGTTATTTGTAAAGGAGAAGGATACCCGTCTCGCACAGTTTTCGGAGTTTTTCAGCAACAACAAAACACGGATTGTTTTAAAGTGCCAATGATGTATTTTACAGGATGTCGCATTCACAGGCGTCCCGGACGAAAGGTTATCTGAAAAACTCGGTCTATTCTCTTGTTTCGTGATGATATTCAGATGACGAATGTTCTTCTAAGTATAATCTCCTTTTGAGTAGGTCCTACTATACTGTGTTCAGCTGTTTTAATGGCCTTGACCTGAAAACAGATTTACATACATATAGTAAATAGGACGGCGTGATTAATGATAAATATTTACAGCCTTAGGCCCTAGTAGACATTGGTATGTCGTTCTAAAGCAATGTCAAAGTCAAGCTGTCCAGGTTGATAGGTCAAACAATTGAAATACATTGTAGTGCAAAACACCTTTGAAAATATACCACTACAAGCAGTAAGAACTTTTTCATTAAAAAAATACATCGTCATTTTTAGTTTCTTCGTGACATTAAGATTCAGAGTTTTTGCCGATATAGATGGTTAATGCTCATGATTCAATAGGAGGGGAATAAAGTAGTCAACAATCTTGTTTCTGATCGTAGACTCTCAGGGCTTTGCTGACTTTGGAGCTAATAAACATTATACTGTAACGTGATGGGCATATTTTGTTAGTGCCCTTTAGCCTAAATAAGGGCGTCACAAAGGGCATACCATAAGAAAATAACTTCAACGTCAATAAAAACAGGTCATTGTAGCAAGGACAAACAACTGGGATCTGAGCCACGGTACTGGTGCTTCGGTGTTATATTACTGATATACTGAGTATATATACAGTGTGAACACACCGAGTGTGCGTGTGTGTGCGCGCGCGCGCATCATGGGACGCAAACACAAGCTGCCTTTATCTCTGGATTATTCATTAACAAAAGAAACGATACTGATCTGCGAAATTGTACCGATGATGAGCTAATAACAGTTAAATATTATAACTAAGTATACTCAAATAAGCCACACGAAAAGTTTTTATCGTCACTTCAAATTAAACCAGTATAAAATACCTTTACAACTGCCACTCTGTCACATACTCGGCGATTAAATAATCAGTTTTATATTCCAGCCCAAAATAGTTCAATCACCTCACTGTCACCAACATGTAGTATTTGTCAAGCTAACCTGTCAGGATGCGGAGACCACTGGACTTGGCGTGGGAACACCAAGGATTTACCTGTTCTTGACACAAATCTCTGACAAATAAATGAACTATTCCGGACCTCTTGTTACCCAACACTCCTGACACCAGTATTGGGACTCACACCTTCGTTAGATATGGAAGTTGTGACTTCACGCATTAGTGGTCCACTAACTCTCCCCCGTGCTCAGATAGCCTCACCTTATGCTCCACTGATATTCACTCATCAGCACTGATGCTAGGATCTATATATATATAGGATATATAGGCCTACACGGCGTACTTATATAATATATAACCTGTATAACCTAACCTGAAGTAATTAACCATTACAGCATAGACCAGTGTGTTAAGCCTTATAATACAGCGTGATTTATGACGAGCTTGAGGCACTTTAACTACGTACGTCTCGTGCGTTAAGTAATATCACAAGTATAGCTCCCCTCTCTCTCTTGTTTTGGATACAATGCCCCCTCTGTTGAAATCTATCAGCCCGATCTATCGGACACTGATATATTACAGAAGGTCAGCTTGACCGTTTGCTTGGCAGCAGGCTTGACCCCTACTAGTATGTTGACCACAATGCAGTGACGTAAACCAGGTAACGTGACAAAATTAATTTCTTCTCAAATCTTGGACGACCTTTCAGAATCACCGAGGCAGCGTAGATCTAAACAACAACGCTGGGCATGCTTCGTGTATAACTGGAGTGAAGATGTCAGTGAGACTTATACTGAACAAGAATGTAAATTCTTCGACGTCCTTGTACTGAACTATTGACAATCACATTCGCGAAGATTACGATTTTGTGATTTACGCAATATGATAATGTTTGCCAACCCGAGACGTCAATAAACCTGTAATGGCAAAGCATTCTTAATACAATATATATATTTCCCCTATTGTCAGGCTGGCACATTGTAACTTACCTTGGAGTTAGGTAAATTGCAATAAATGAAGCAACAGCAGTTGTCACGTAGACCAGTGCTTCAATGTCAACACTAAATTTGTACAATATGTTAAGGTTCATGCAATGTAGGCTAACTGCCAGGTCAGTTGATAGCAGTTGCTCGTGTTCCACAACAGCAGTCAAATATACAACATATGAACTGGCTCTTGATAAGAAGAAGAATTTCACCTATTGACGTCAATTTCAATAAGCTATTGCTTCCAAGTGTGACGTAATCGGGACCAGGCAAATCGAACGCTCGACGTACGGTAAAATACATATATTTCTCATAAAGTATTTTCCCTTGTTTTCCAATATCATTTGATACAAAACGTTCTTGTTCGTATTGAAGCACTCTTGCAACTACCTGATAGCTAAATATCCCTCTGAAAATTATTTTTCCACCTCATGAAGTGGGATATAAATAGTTAAACTCTACATGTACGTACCAGTACCTGTATTACGATGCTTGAAGAGGGTGAGAGCGGCTGAATGATCATTTACTTTCAGGTTTTCGCGTTATCATTGCTAACAACCCCCCCCCCCTCTAATGTCTTAGCAAAATTAATTTTGTGCATGCAACATTGCGTTAACTTACTGCATAAAATACCGAGACCGAAAATTGTGCCAATAAAGAGCCTCGTGTACTTGCGTGTCGCTGTTTCTATCGACCCTATACAACAAAACTCGCAGTAACAAAAGTGGCGAGGAACGTGTTTATTTAATAAATATTCCTGTACATTTTGATTCATGCTTCAGAATACTGTATTTAAACTGAATTATGGTGATAAATAACTAAGTACACGATAATACTACTAGATACTTCTAAATATTCATTTTCAAAGGCTCAATAAAAATTTTCACATTTCAAAACTTTTAACTACATCTCAGGAGAACTACACATCTTCCACATGTTATCTTTCAAATAAGGCATCACCAAACAATCATTAATGCAATGCCTACAAAAGATTTAGAGCGCTTAACTTCCCTTTGGAAAAAAGTGAAGAGGAAAACACCCAGTTTTGGGGCATAAGTAGCAATTTGTTCAAATCTTAAAAATATAACTAATGATGTCTGATTCAGGGTATACAGTATAGATACCCAATTTTTTAGCATTAATTTGGATTTAAAAAGGTCGATTAAATTAAAAGGATGCCCAAATTATTAGATCGACCAAAGGCATTATCATGCCTACACATTTTAAATTTTAAACAGGCATAAAACATTGTAAAAAAGTTATTTCTTCCTATCTAATTGAAAATATTTTTAAACCAATCCATTAAATATGTTACAACTGAGAAACTCTCTACCTTTAAGATTGTGGCAAACATACTTGGTAAATTAAAACTCTCTCTATTGTTATATAGTAGTCTTATCACAGCTAATAAGTCCATAATCACATTTCACCAACAGCTTTGCAAACTTATGAGAGGCATGAAGAGTTGCTGGTTGAAATCAATTGCTGTAGTTAGTTCATATTCAAATGCTTCTCTTTATGTCGTTCCATAAGTCTTCTAATGAAAAAGATATGAAATATTACATCACCTTTAAGTTTGCCTAACGTAGTGGATACAGCAGTCTGAAAGCAACCAGTCAGTTAAAACAAACTTCCATTTGCAACAAATAAATTCTATATGCAAAAACGTTTTTAATAGCTCTTTCTTGTGCCCGCAGCTCTGAAATTGTTTACCTGCATACACTTAATTATTAATGATTCATACAGACAACCAGTGACCTGATTTCTCTTGAATGGAGGTTGTATTTTTAATGAGAAGTTTTAAAATGGGAAATACACCACTAGGCCAATGAACAGACAGTTCCAAGGGTTACATATGGAACAAAGTACAGTACTAAAAACACACACACACAAAAAAAATGTGGCAAACAACTCTCCCTGTATCGTAGTGAAAATTATACTATATAATGGCATCATTTGAAAGAAAGTGCCACAATATAGTGAATTAACTTAACATACAAACTGTTACAGTGATTAATGATGTTCAACACTGCTTCTCTGAAAATACATGAACCCTTTGTGTACAACATTGTTGGTCTCTTTCAAATATTTTTATCATACTTGTATCTGATATGTCTTTACTGTCCCTATCAGAAAAAGACTTCCTAAAATTTTACTCTTCATCTATATTGACAGCCCTGCATTTCAGTATACAGAAATTACTTTCCTTTTCTAAGTATACTAGTATTGTTAGGGAGATATGTTTCCAACAGACTCTGAAACTCAGGCTGAAGCCCAAAAAAGATTTCTTCAATAAAAAAAAAAAAAACCGACCTGTGAATTAAGAACACTGTCACCGGTATATATAACATTAGCATTACAATGATGCACCAAGTCAATATATTCTTCTTACCTCCTCTATCATTCAGAATAAAAATCACATGACAGTGCAGGTATTGTAATTCATCAGCTGAACAGTTTCTTAGTGACAATTCCTTTATATAAGATGATTTTCACCTGTACTAAGACATGTTTATGTTTGAATAACTCTACAAGCATCGGGTCTGTCTTCTCACTGATGAAACAGGGTTGACCTACACTGAAGTTTAATGCCAAAATGTCTTTAAATGTCTAAATGTCTTTTTTGTTAACTTCACCCACTTAACTTATATCAGTCAAGGTGTTCTTATGCATCAGAATCATCTGAACTAGTGTCACTTTCACTTTCTTCTTCACTGCTGCTGGATGAACTAATAGTCCTGGGGGATCTGTAGTTCTGCATTTTGCTAATAGGTGGCAGTGAATGTGTGCTGGAGGCACCCTTCCTGTTGATAAAACCATAACTGGGTCCATTGCGTGAAAATGTGTGCATATTTCTGTTGGTTGGCCTTGTGATTCCAGTCAGATTACCACTATTACCATTCTGACAGGCGCTGCCATCTTTACCATCTCCTTTATTGCCACCACTGGGTGTAGATCCACTGCTACTTAGTGTGCCTGCTGACACTTGCTGCAAGTTTATATGGATACATGTACTGTACAAATATTGCATTTAATTCAGTAATACAACAGAAATTGAGAAATACATTGACAAATCAAACTTAAAATATGTTCAAGTTCAAACATTGGCTGCTTTTACAAATGCATTTTACTTTTCATTGCACAGCTGATGAAATAAAGAAAGGTTGCCTTGGACACTTTAATAAAACATACCTCATCTAGGAGTTTCTCATTCTCTTTCATCAGATATTCCATATCTTTTTGCCATTCCAGTATTCTAACAAACTTCTGCACATTAGCTATTAGATCCCCTAAAATAAGCAAAGTGCATTACTTGCAAGTCTTGTTATCTGATAATTAGGGATGGGGAAATTAATTCATAAAAATTTAACAATTTAAGGGAAAAAACAAAATTCTTAAAACCTTGGATCGATTCAACCTTATACAACCAATATTAAAGATGCAGTAAATGTTCTATACATAGAAAAACATGCACACCATTAAAAAAAATTTCACTGCAGCCTACTGAAGGATATCTACTACTAAACAGATGACAGAGGATCATATTGGTCTTTGAAGGAAAATTTTAACATAAATTTTATATCTGGTCCTTACCTTCTGAAACAACATCATTGTTCCTTCTCTTCCTCTTAAAAGGCCCCACAGCCTCCCTGTTGAACAGCACTCTGGGGATATAGGACCTGCTGGCATCCACTATACTAGCAAATGGCTCCACCTAGTGTTTGAATCCAAATTTTGCTGCATCATCATGGTCACATAAATTTGTTCTTTTTCTTTTATTTTTAAATAATATATCAAAAATATAATATCTGACAGATTTGCGATTGCTTTATTATATAATAACCTCTACCCTGCCTTAAGGTTAAAAATCATTTGAGAATTCTGCTGTACATGATTTGTTTTCACAAAGTTCATATCACTGATTTATGTGTCTATTGCACATCTTAAAATGTTTGACAATACCTCTAGAGATGTCCCCAGCACCAATACAAGATCTGCCTGGGGAAAATCTTTCAGGTAATAATAAAACCTCCTGGGAAGTTCTTCTCCAAAGAACACAATATCAGGTTTAACAATTCCCTGGAATATGAACATATGATTATTAAATTTTTCAAAAGTTGGTTTGTGTCTAGAAGTACATTAGGTAACATTAAGTCATTTAAATACCAACATTATTAAACATGAGTTTTTCAGAACAAAAAAAAATCAACTAGATTGCAGTGTTAGACTACATACCAGACAGTTTGTCTTTTTGCACTTTGGAAGCTTATCAGAGAATATAGCATCCTGAAAGAAAAGAAAACCATATCCAAAATCAAGATCCACAAACAGCACAGAAGATAATAGATAAAACGGTAAGCAAAATGTTTAACATAGCCAAATAAAATCAATTTGACAATCCATAAAATACTGGTAGCTACATTGTACATTCCACATCCATACATATACATAAGATCTTAAATATCAACTTGATATGAACTGGAAATGATGTAAAACAAATAATCAATCATCCATCTTTAAACACAGTGAGCAGCTATATGTGTATGTGTACCTTAATCTCATCTCCTCGGTGCTCAAGATTACATCTAATACAGGTGGCAGTGCTAAATGTACCGTGAGCCTCCACTAGCTTCTCACTAGGAATACCAGCCACTGGAAATTCAAGTGAAAAATATAATAAGATCTTTTAAAAATTTTAAAGGAGTGATGTGACAGGACCCAGGCCTGTAGCCAGCCATTTCAAAGTGATTTCTTTTCTTCTAAAAAAAGTGAACTTTTTTACTTTGAAATCTTGTATTCATTATTATTTATAGTTAATTTAGATTCAATCAAGCTCCGAGACACCATCTGCCAGCTGTGGATCTGGCACTGATGAAAAAGACATAGTCAGCACCATTAGAAAACTTAAAATGATCAACAGTACAAAAAATTATCAAATACATGATGACGTATATATGAAGTAATAGAGAACAGAAAATACATTTAAACTGATCATGACGGAGGAAATGTTTCTAAATAAAACCAATATTTACATCTTTCTAGTCCATCAATATTCTGAGTATACATTCTGTGCAGTAGTCCTTTATCATGCAGCAAGCGCATAAAATAATGGATGTAGTTAGGTCTGTACTTTCCACTTGGGTAGAGTTCTTTGGATAAGGCAAAAAATGGACGTGGATTCATATGGAAGTAATCAATATCAAATATCGCCTCTGGATATGGGATGTTATACTGTTGTAAGTTGTCATATAGGCCTGTTCCTGGGGACCTGGATAGAATCAATATCAAATACCACTATTTATTAGAAACATGATCACAGTTATAAAATGAATGCAACTGGCTTAGAGCATTTGCACCTCTAAATGTTTAAATAAAAATTGTACAGTATATAAACAATGAAAAAAAATCATGAAATTCTAATGTAATGTTTTCTATGATTGGCATTTTATCTTTTATCTCTTACATTACACTATTCCCCTCCCTTCTCTGTACCTAATGCTGCCTTCGAGAATAAGCAAAACCTGTTGGAGTTACAAAATCAGCTTTTTTGTTAAAATGTATTATGTATATATTTTTGTAATACCAAAAACCTATTTTCTTACCAACCAAACATTTGTCAACTATCTTCCAAATACACCTACCTGAAGTCGGGTATCCCACTAGGTGTGCTGATCCCAGCCCCTGCCATCACCACAATGTTCTTAGCCCTGCCTTCCCTGATGTATCTGGACACATCCTCCAAGTTATTACAGATGGCACTGGAGGTTGTTACTGAGCCAGTCCTACGCACAGAACCAGCACTGCAAACAAAAATAATCTCATAACTAAAAACAACTAGTAACTAGTATGTATGCCACAGTATGTGACATTTTTTCTGAAAATCTCTACATAGCTCCTTCCTCTCCCTGAAAAATGTAAAAATTAAAACAATGAACAAAGTTGGGTCAAAATAAAAAGAAAATTTGTTCTATCAGGAGAAGTAATATACTTCTATAACAGGTAAAATTATCTGCCATACTTACACAGCAGTTTTTGTTGGCCTGGGTGGCAGATTCTTCTTCCTCTCCTGTATTGAAAGATTTCTGACTCCATTAGCCAGTCCAACATCAGACTTCACCTTAGGGATAGGAGCAGGTGAAGATGTAGTCTTTAGTGTGCGTACTTGTGGCTGGCTGGGTTTAGAACTAGTGGATTTTGACCTTGGAGGATGGGGAATGTGAGCTGAAATGTTATAAGCTTTAAATGAATGAATTATATTCTATAATCAATATCTGTCAAGAACGTCTGTTGTAAGGTCAACCCTAATCAACTATCATATACAGTACCAGTATACTACAGTACAGTATATTCTTTCTTCTTTTGTTAATTTGCCTAATTTCATCTGTTTTCATGTATATACTCCTTACTTTATCTGTTGTCTGTAAATCTGCACAGCCTAGTTACAATGATAGGCTAGACAGATGATGCAGTACATGTCTTATGTAATGTTGAACGCTAAATCGATGTACATGTAAGATTTGCGAAGGACAAGGGCAGCGATGGCCAGCTTTAAGGTTGAGGTTCCATCACTGCAGTTGTTTACCTGGTAGGCTTTATTACAGTTTAAGAAGGCTAATAACAAGAATAAGTCGTGTTGCTGATAAAGACAACAATGTAACAAGTTATATGTTCTGGGTTCGTTTTCACTTGTACACGCATAAAAATAATACATACAGTACTCATGTAGTTGACGATTAGAAATTGTTCAATTTACCTTTCCTACCAGCAGTTGCCATGACCCGCGCCAACATTCTGATAGCATGAGGTCATACCTCATTTGTCCAAGGGATCCCTCGACTATGACAACCTGGAAATTCAGAAAAACGCGCGGAGAATTCTTGATAATTTTAACTCATTTTGGTTTGTTTCGCTAGACCCCATCCAAAACAACGCCGAAAAACGATAGATGTCGCTGCAGTACTTTCGAAAAGGGAAGTGACTCGAAATCGATGCCCCAACAACATTTATAATGCTCTTAGTGATGTGAAGAACGATGCTGAGTTGACTTTTCCTCCAAATGAGACGATATCATGAGCAGTCGAATGAGAACTGTCTCGTTTGTTGAAAGAGTTGAGTTTGACTTTCAGGGGAATCTATTCAACCAGGCCATTGCACTTGGGGATGTCGACAATGATCAAGTAAATATAGGGTTAAAGATTAAATAGATTAAAATCTAAGCACTATATCATTTATGTCATTTATGTGAACACTTTCTAGACATTCGCTGATATAAAGATATTTGCGTGAGTGTGGAGCCCAGATGAACACGGTACATGCACATGCTCAATATGCAACTACACGTGTCCAAATGAAGAAAATTATTGGATGCTTGTTAATTTTTCCAGTACTTTATAGTTTATTTCACCTTATGTGTTTTGAGTACATGTACGTACGTGTGTTTTAAATTTGCACACACATTGATTTATAAATGTGCACACTGCTTGCATGGGTACACACACCCTCACACTAAGGCAAATTAATGTTTTTTTTAAAATGGGGGTATTACATTTTTTACAATCTACATGTACCTGCATTTATTTCAGTTGAATGAACTGGTGGTAGGAAATATAGATGGAGAGCTTTCAGTCTTCAAAGGTGGTGATTTACAGAAACCATGGGCAAGAGCATCAGACTTAGGGACGGTATGTGTGAAGTTAAATGTTTGAGGTCATGACCATATACAGTTTTGTGCAGAGAAGATGACATTAAGGATACGGATAAAGCAAAACCGATTAAGTTGTCTTACGTACGCCCCTTAAGAGGACAAAAGAATTGTGTGAAAATTCGTAAGCTAAGGACAATGCCGACTTACGTATATTTTACGGACACCTTACGTACATCTTACACACATGCAGCGATGAGTAAGAAGGGGTGGGCTTATGTAAATAAGGTGACGGCGGGGTGTTTCTCGCCTTGCGGCAACACAACCATGTGTGAAAAGAGGCGTGATATATGATCCCGCTTAATTGTGGGCTATTAAATCGTACTCTGTTACGCTGCGACGCGACCCAAACATGACAAAACCCTGGTTAGAATGGGACGTTTAAGAGTAATTTACATTGATTTATTGATTTCTTGTAAAAAATCAATCCCAACAGAGACTACTAGGATGCCCAGTCAATCCTTACCTTCGCCAGCAGTTATGCACGCGATTCTTCTTTTAAAAGGTGTAAGGCATTTTTTTCAAACAACTTGTTTCTCAAGCTCCACCGACTTTAATATGGCAAAAAAAAAAAAAAAAATAAAATAAATAAAATTGAAACCCAAAATAATTTTGTTTTTTTTCACCCGACGTCCGACTGATCATACTGTTCAATTGGAATAACATTAACGCAAAAATTCCTTTTCACGGTACTCTCACGTCACATGACTGCCTACAAGTTGTAAACGAAAGCCATTTGTGCCAAGGTAAATGTTTGGTTCATTTCCTCGAGCTTCCAGTTTTTAAGCCAATCAGTACTTCGTTGATATTTTACACTACACGTTCGACTACATGTGTCAAATTAATGCAAAATGGCAGGAAAGTGAGCTGGAGTAGCCGTCTTGATTTAAGCAGGAATTTGACCACTGTTGTGTGGCTCAGTTTATAGTGAAGGAGGGACCAAAATTATTATGCAAAATGGTCTGCCCGGCCAGTGTTACAGATGTTTTAGGCAATTTTATTGACTACTTTCTGTCGGAAATGAACATATCAGTTGCAACACTTGCGTCACGTGTGGAGTGTTTAAACAGGGAACCAGCAGCGTAAAGAGCACAAAGCATGTTTTTTTATTATTATTTTGTAATTTACAAGAATGATTGACATTTATTTAGAAAAATAAAACATTGAAAATAAATTGCTGTTTTTTGTCCAGAAATTGCTTTACTGTGTTTTAGTTTTTACCATTCTCTAATGTAGTGTTGAAAGTGAGTTACCTAAAAGTATTTTTCACTTTTTTCACTATTTTTCACTTTTCACCCCATCCGACCTCTGTCAAAAATTAAAATTGTTTGAGAAAATAGTAATTAAGGCGTGAATATCACTGTAACACTACCTTTGTTAAACGCACAATTACAGGCCAGTCATTATCGGTGGGGGTGAGGGGGGGGTATACGCTAAATCTATTGTATTACAATATATAGAGCCTGTGTCTGCTTTGACAAGAGTCAGTATGGTGTACAATACTAGATAGTAAAGAGGTGCTAATAGTAATCCGTAATTATGCCGTTTCTGTAGCACATCCCACCCTCCTTGATTTTAGTTTGCTTACTAGTCGATACACTATTTAGCGCAGTCTAATTTTAAGAGTGTGTTTTTTTTTTTTTTTTTTTACCCGTTTAAGCAACGTCCAATCCTATGTAATGAACATCAAACTGACAGATCACATCAACAACATAACAGTATAAATCTTAACGGAACCTTCTTTCTGTAATGTTTGAGTTAATTGGTGGTGGGCAGAGTCTTATTATTCAATGATGATAATAAAAATTGTAGTCGCACAAAAGCACATTCCTTAATTCTGTGATCTATTCTAGGGTGTAGGTTTTCGTATATTTTTTAACTGTACCATCAACTTACCAGCTTTGGACAACTGGCGAGCAGACAACTCAGTGCTTTAGATTTCCTCTAGGGATGATAATTTCACTGTTGTCAGGTGCTGGTCTCGTTTCGGCAGTTGCCGCAGGGAGCGTGATTGAAATCAAAACTTGGCACATCTTGAAAGTTTAAGTCGGACAAAAGAATTTCAGGTGACCCTTTTAATCAGAGCTGCCAGGTAAGCTAACAGTTTAATTGCTGCAACGCACAGGTAAATTGAGAGTTGCGATAAGATCACCTTCTTCCTATCTCTCCATCAACATATTTCTTGAGACTGCCTTTATTTTCGTTCACTGTTCCACAAGGATAATTATCAAATGAAGAACATTGTATGGAGAAGGGGTTTTTATTCATTATTTTATTCATGAAACAATAAGCAAACTTCTCGTTTCAGCAGAAGGATGGGAATGTAAAACCATTTATTTAAAATAAAGTTCTTATAAAACTGCTTGCTTAAAGCATTCCATCAAGATACACGTGAACTAAATCTGGATTGAATAAGTTGTATGAATAATGTCATAAAAGAATATTTGCTATATGAATATATGCCAGACATTTCACTCATTGCGATAGATAGAATATTCTGCTATAAAATCTAAAAAAAAAAAAAAACAGAAGGTACTGGTGACAGCCCGTATCGGTAATGTATAATTTGGCAGAGCAAGCTTACATGCACCAAACCAAACAAATTTCAAAAAAAAATTTTTGTAACATATTTATTGGTAATGGTAGCCGGTCAGATTCCTTGAAAACATTATATCATCCACTCATTTCTCCATCTCCGCAATTCTTTGGAGCGTCCGATAAGATCTAAAGGGACTCGGGCACGTGGATTACACGCAATTACCATGATCGTTGATTATCTTCCTTAAATGCTTGCTTAAGCTCCGATCATCCACTTTTAGCCGACTCCATGTTCTTAGAAAATCCTTTTAAAAACCCTTTCTACAAGCATTTAATTTGATGTACGAGTCAATGGATATTATCGTCGTCGTCTTAATCTCCAATTGAATACTCCGCGCCGCTTCATAATTAAAAGTAAAAAAAAAAAAAGAAAAACGTGTTTGGATAGATTACCCGGCCCCTGTTGTTCTTCGTGATCGAAAATGATGTTGAAAGGTTAGGGCAAAGCCAGGTTAAACTGCAATCAATTATATGTTCAAAATTTATAATAGTGTGAGCATTTCAATGTAATAATTTGAGATGAAATTGATGACTCAAGGAAAAACGTAAAATACGCCGTCTTAAGCCTAGGTCCCAACCGAACGTACGGGCTGCTACGTGTGGTCTACGGCCAAAAAAAATGGGGAAAACGTGGGAGTTCGTGCGTGAGGAGCACGTCCATCGTGCGACTTTTGGAGGACGCAATCAGCACGTAGAAACTTTTTGACATGATCAACAGCCGCTACGTGCGATCTCGCTACGTCCTAGCCGGACGCTAGTAACCTGAAAACCGTGCGTCCAAAACGTAGTTGGGACCTTGGCTTTATTAGGATTATGGATCCTTTATTTTTAACATTCAGAATCAACAACACATGGGAAATTTGAAATTTACAACACAATTAACAGCAAAAAAGTAAGTAACTATGTGCTATATACGCAGCAAAAACGTCTATTGAAACAATTTTAGGAGAAACAATTATATTGTAACTGAGCCTTGAGAACCAAGACATCGTTAAGAAAGAAAATACTATCTAAAATACTACCTAAAGGACGAATACAATGAAAGCGTGCCCCATATAGATGAACAATGATTGTGTGCAGTCGGGCAGATAATCAGATAAGCGGCTGGGACTTGGAAGATGACAATTAACGCTGTCGCTCAGCAGCATCAGTAGAGGGAGAGGTGGCAATTAAGGCTGTCACTCATCACCTCAAACGAGGCCAACTCGACTTACTTCCCGTAACCCAGCTGACTTACGCAAAGCATTGTGGCCTATTGTGTTTACCCTGTAATTATGTTAAATGTGCGATACGTAAGATTATCCGTATCCGTAATGTCATCTTCTCTGCACAAAACTGTAGTACTGCACTGCATATAGACCTTAAGCATGGGATACTGTATATCATTTGCCAACAGCCATGGTCACTGTCTGGCAAATCCTTTTAGACATATACTGAGGGTTTTGTACAAATTAATGGAGAAAAGGGCTATGCAGCTTTGCCAGTCAATTGCAATAAGATGATGAATGATATGTTTGTAAATGTTAAAAAGGATGCTTTCATTTATCTCCATATTGATTTGAAGTGTACACATTTATAGATTAATTTAACATCATAGAAAAGTTTTTTGCAGGACTACTGTTTTTGTGTTATCCTCCAACTGGTGACAATGATACAAAAGATCTATAGGAAGACCAATTAGCTTGTTAATATTATGCATAACAGTGCCACTTACTTGGTAAACTTAACATTTGATCTGTTATTTTTACATCAATAATTATGATTTTTTAAAATTTCATATGAAAATATATTTGTTCCAGATTACCTGTGTGGGAGTTGGAGATGTTTGTAATACAGGGAGGGTGAGTTTAAGTGAAAAGATTCAGAGGATGAAGTCTGTTTGTTATTTGTTTAAACCTTCACAATTTAATTTGTTTGTTTGTTTGTTTGTTTGTTTGTATATGTGTGTTTTTTCTGGGACTCTATCTTTGAGTTTATACTGTTTCAGAACCTTTTAGTAAGTCACAGTTCTGCTGGTGGATTTTACCTGTTTGACTTCCGGAAAGATAAAAAGTCACAGGTAACATTTTACTCAACTTGTTAGTTTCTTTGGCATTTGTTTCATACAGGCACAAAAATTCAATATTGGTACGTGTTGTGTAAGTATGATATTTTAAGGTTTGACAATACTTTGATATTCTTGTTTCAAACATACACCACAGAAGCAGGATGTATGTGTACTCAAGATGAAGAAGTCATTGTTTTTTATAATTTATGACACAAAATATAATGAAAGATTATAAATTAATAATAACTTTATTATTAATCTTGTCATAGGAGAGTCCAGTGCTAGATTCAAGCCATAATTCATCAGGAGATGCAACAGACGCTGAGATGAAGCCATGTCATAAACAAAATTTGCCTGCAAATAGCAAGGTGATGATAATAGCAGATGTGGGTGAGTGAAATTTTGATGGCCTTGGGAATAAGAAGAGGCTTTCAACTGCATAGTGAAAGGTTTAAATTCTAGATCAGAAATGGACTACCTGCCAGCAACAGATGATCATATTGCTTAATGATGGGTTAAATGTCTGACTTGATGAATGTTTTTATATAATTTAATTGACTGAAGATGTCAGATAATCTAAGTTAGTCCTGATAGAAATGCAACTAAACATCTTATTACATCTTATTACTACAATAATTTTATTTTGTTCAGAAACAAAAATGTACTAACAAGTAACCTTGCTTACAAAATCTATTTGAAGTTCACTGAAATGACAAGTTTGCAGTACGTTGTTTAAAAAACAAAATGTCTTGTAATTATTTATTTCAGATGGAGATAATCATGTTGAGCTTGTGATAGGATATTCTGATCGTATGGTTCGGACATTCCGCTGGGTTGGAAGCAGGGATCTTTTAGACCCAAGTTCAGATCTTGCAGGGAAATTTGAAATGGTTGATAAATGGCAGCTTGCTGCTCAGGTGAGATTCATCAAACAAAAATCTTATCAGCAGCACCCTACAGCTCTTTTGATGTGTTGATAGTATTTTTTCAATTCGCAAACCAAATAACATTTATTTTCATTTAAATTCACACTGTCACATATGCAGACATGGCAACAGGTCGGTCAAATACTTGAAAGACATTTTATTTATTTCTTATGGATTTTATTTGTTTTCTTGTTAGATTGGTGCTATCACTCTCCACACCAACACTGAAGGGAAAACATGTCTGATGGTTGCACAACCTGGGGGAACATATGTGACATTATATAGCAGTGATGGAGGCTCCTTGACACAAACAGACAATACATCAGAGAGGCAGGTTCACATTGTGGGACAGAGGGTCTTGTAATCAAGTTTTCACTTATGTCACATCCCCTTTTAAGACTGCACTAGTAGTATTTGGTGTTGATTTGAATGTAGTGTTTCATCCAGTGTAATTTTGTTTCATGCAAAAGCACTTTTCTATTTTAAATAATATACCAATATCATATATGTTTTTGAAAATATTCTATCTACATGTTGTAGAACCCAGAATGTGAATACTGGATCCAAGTATAGTTTTAAACTCATATAATTAAAGTTTAACTTATTTTATTTGATAATTCCCACATGATTTTATTTTTAGTGATCGGTCAGTCAGTCCTACCCTGACCTTCCATCCCTTGTCCTCAGCCAGAGCTAGAAACCCTGGTGTCACCACAGAAATTGTTGGAGACATTCAGAAGCCAGGTGGAGTGGAAGACAAAGGGACATTTTATGCACTATGCACACTAGATGGTAAGAGAAAAAAAGAGGGAGCTAGTTCAGTTAGATATATGTGCTCATTTTGACTAGATCAAAACTAGTTACTTTATTAAATGCATTGTGTAATATATATGACATTGTAATAAAGGCATCTCAGTAATTGGGATATTAATGAAGCACAGAAGCATACTCTTCACATCAGTTACAAAAATACATATTTTCTTAAACACTCACTTTATACTGTTCCATGTGTATTTTTTCAGATATATATTTTTTAATGTTATGTTGTTTTCATGACTTAAACATGTCTCATTATTTCATCAACAGCTGCATTTTATAAAAACTTTTCTAATCTTTAAAATTCCCCCTAAAATATTATGATTCACAGTGGAAAGTGCTATGATCTTTTTTCTGACAGGGACACTGATGCTGGTAGAAGATGATAAGATCCTGTGGTCATTTCAAGTAGATCACCAGTTATTTGGGCTGACTAAATTGGACTTTACAGTATGAACGTCATTTACACCTCTTCAGTATATATCATGACTCAAGCTTATGCATGTACACAGTTGAGACAATAAAAAGTTTATTGTATCATGGTATCTTCCTGTTTGATAGTACATGATGTAATTATCTTCAATAAATATGAAAAAAATTATTAAAAGCAATTTGAAGTCTTTCATCATTATAAAATACAGTTATGCTGGTTAGCTCATGAAACTTATTGATCATCATTTATTTTTAACCACATTTAAGTGAATATGTTAATTTCAGGGTGATGGTAGTGATGAAGTTATTGTGTGTTCATGGGATGGACAGACATATATTGTGAACAATTCAAATCAAGTGGTGCGATTTCAGTTTGAAGAGGATGTAGCAGCATTCTGTGCAGGTAAAAACTAAACATTAAATTACATTCTTTTTGTTTATATTGAATTAGCTTTTAAATGAAAGAAAACAAAATGCAAATACATTATCCATGATGTATGAGATTTTAGATTTTTAAATTCTTCCTATTCACTTTTAAAATAGCCTGGACTTGTGCTTCATCCATTTCGAGTAACAACTTTACTCCTTGATCAGATATTGCATTAATTTGGGGAGTAAAATGCAAAGAATACATGCAACTGTTCACATTACTGAAGTTAATGGAAGAAAAGTGGTTTTAAAACATTTATTTTGAGTGCCAGGAAAATCTGCCAATTGTTTTTTTTTTTGAACAAAATCGAGAAAAAATGTGTTTAAGATGTGGTAGAAATATATATATATATACCAAACTAATGATGAGGATACTATTCAGTGACAAAGTTGCACCATTTTTGTTGTTTTACAGGTTTCTATTCCGTGAATGGAACAAACGTGCCCTGCCTTATCTATGTGACATTTAATAACAAAATTTATGTATACTACAATATCCGAATGCCACAGATTCAGTCTACCAACTTACTGGAAACAATGCAAACCATGCCAGAAACAAACGATTTACTCTCTTACTTCAATATTGATGGTAAGTAAAATGTAATGATGAAAAATTGCACATGTTATTAATTATCCAGCAGAAGATACAAACCTCGGATTTTATTTCAAGTCTGTTGCTCAGAACTTTTACAGTAAACCAAGTTATGCATGGGCATGAAAGTTTATCACGTTTTCTTATTTGTCTTTTACAGCTTCTGATCCAAGCCAGTTAAAGAATCTGTATCACTGGTGTCTATATGGGAAGCATGATAAACCAGTATGATTAGTATTCATGTGGCACTAAATTTTAAAATTTTAGTGCATTCTGTCATAAAGGATATTTTAAAGATTATAAATGCATAAATACCAGCAGAGATTTTAAAAGAGTTGCAGGTGCAAATACATTTCTTACACTTAGGTTAATTACTGTTGAAAAGCATATCTTGATTGTTAAAGAAAATAAATGGTTTATGTGATATTATGTTTAAATGCAAAGCATATTGATATATGACATTTTCTTTGTTTTTGCAACTCTTGTCCAAACTATGTCGTATATCCCTGGAGTAACGCATACTGTGAAAAGTCCGTTTTCTCAATTATGTATGAGTAGAAACCAGGTTTGAGTTTTTCAGCTTGCGCAAGAATAATGCGGAAGTCGCCCTCGTTCTCCAGCCGCATCTCTTCCCGTAATCTCATGACATTTGGTTTACCTGGTCTTTTGGCCAATCTGAAGAAAATAGAGACTGGAAATAAAGACAAGAATTCCGTCTTCTGTGAAAGTTTAGGTTGCATTTTCGTGGTGTATGTTTTCATGAAACGTGGACTATTGACGCACACACAAGAATTTTTAGCGCATTTGTGTGAAATTCACATTTTCCATTCACCTGAAAATCCGTATCCAGTCCGTTTTCCAATTTTTTTTTAGATCGAACCATGATATTGATAATTGCTGCATCTCGACACCACATATGTACGCCTTCGTGCGCAATTTTGAATTTAAATTACTCGTGGTGTGGTTCAGCTGTGTTAAATCTTTAGTATTTATGATGCTTACCATTCAGAGAACTCGCTAAACTTCAATGCAAAATAAATAAATTACCTGTTTACTTCTCATTAAGCTAGTGAGGAAACGAAAGGTATTTAAGCGATTTTGATCAATCCAGAACTTACACAATCGCCTCAATTCGTCTGATCAGCAGCATGGCTTGACGTTTCAAACTATACACAAATGACACTGTGTAATCGTGACGAGAATTTGGCGGTAGCTGAAATACCTGAAATCGGAATACATATCAGTAAGACGTACATGTAACAAGTTAAATGTTTTAAGAAAAGTGAGACTCCATAATTTCATTTATCGATGCATGCCACTTGTGTAAGATATTTCTTATGTACTTTCAATTGATAAGAATAATCCCAGTAAAAGTTTTAAAAAGTGATATCCTGGTATACGTATCGCCTGGCATGCAATAGGCATATCCGAACAGAAAACCATTGCATCTCTTTGGGAAAGGCGATCTTTTATGAAGATAAGGTCAATTTTTTTCTCCTGGCCCCCAATCGAGCAAGACGGTTTTAAGCACATTTTGACGCCATTTATTTGATCTAATCTTTGCTTCTTATGAAAGGTAATGTGTAAGTAATGTAAAAAAAAAAAAATTCTCACCTCTTTCACGAAGTTCGTCACGAGCGTCTCGGGCTGATCAGGACAAAATAGCGTTACCCTGAAATGATAATTAATTTTTTTGTGAACTTGCCACAAGCCTGGTTTATTCAAATGAAATGTTTTTGGTGAACTTAACGTGTGTTGAGATTAATATTCAACGACGTTGATTCTTTGATACTGACACTGAACTGATACTGTCATGTTCATTTTGCGTGTTTTAATAGTCTCGTGCGCAATATATTTTCTTATTTCCATGTAATACTTTTGTGACCGCCACTATTTTAAGATTATTCACTGGAATCTGAAAGCTCAGATTCATGCCGCTAGTTTAAAAAAAAGGATAAATGAATAAAAATCAAGCACCAAAGACCTATTAATAAGACAAATGTTACTTACATCGGTATGACAGTTCTTCTTTTCTTATCGAGCGCCAAATCCAACAGCTCCCTATTCAGCAGCCTCTGTCTGCCCGCCTTGTGGCCGTCCACCAAGTACGTCTGCCAGACATTTCTGCCGCTGATGTCCACGATGGTGGTCGGGTAGTAACTGCACAGTATGTCGTGATGGGGAAGCTGACTGATGAACTGCTTTTTTGGCGCTTCTGATGTGATTTTTGGCTATAACAGCGAAGATTTTAATGTGATCGTGTGTTGGTGTTTACTTCTTATATTTATATTTTTTAATGATTTTAAGACGTAAAATTTAAAAACATTGCATCGGCCGGGAATCGAACCCGGGCCGCCCGCGTGGCAGGCGAGCATTCTACCACTGAACCACCGATGCTTACGTGTGACAACTCGTCCACAGAGAAGTCGGCTAACCACTTTAAAAATTAAAATTATATATGTGTTTATAGTAATATTTTGGACATCCAGTTCATCACTTTTATGTTTAATTCTTAAAATATAACTATCAACAAACAGTTCTGATGCAAAGTCACTTTTTTTTCTCAAGCTTAGAGAAAATTATGCAAATTTATATGTAATCAGGTTTATGCCTTTAACTTTCAAGCAGACCTAGTGTAGACGTGGCACAGGAGTACTTGCCTTGCCACTAAGTGGGTTAAGTGGAATTTAGCACGCATGAAGGGCATTAATAAGCTGTTGGGCATTTATCTATTAAATTCCCCCTAGACCTCTTTTTTTTCACTATGATTTTGATTAACGTTCTTAGACTATAAATGTCATTGTACCGAAGAGTCCAATTGAACGATGAAGTAAGCCGCAAATCAGACACATTTCACCCGGCATTTCAATCCTAGGAAGAGCTATGTATTTGACGAGGTCTGACCAGTGTTAGGGAAAGATAAAAAGAAAATAATGGGGAAGTTAATAAATGATATAACTTGTACACGAACTTCTTACTGGTGTGACTTAAATGCTAACTTTTTTTGTGGAATGAACCAGAAAGCAATAAAGGTGAAGCGTACCATTAGCAATCCCTGTATACAGAGGTCTGGGATATACCTATTCCATCTCTTCTCTCCAGCTGCGGCGACTAAACGGCTACACCTGCGATCAGAAAGCTGACTGAAGAGCGCCAATGTGAGGATCATCTGAAAATCAAACCGTTTTTATATTGCCTCATTAAAATAATGATTTTTAAACCAATATTAAAATAGCATCCAGTTACATGGATTCAGGTTGTACTGATTTAGTGTCTACAGGCGTTCTTGACAGATATATTTGCGTGGAGTTTAATTTAAAAAATGAGGACATGGCCTACTAGCATAAAAGAAATATAAAGAAACAATATGAACCCTGGTACCAGCTGAGATACGCTCCGCCAAGAATAATGGTTGTAGATTTAAGTCAATGAGAGGGACTGCATTACTCTCACAGAGACTTGATTTATGCTAAAAATATTGAAACTTTCTCAAAGTAAACGGATAGAGCTATGATAAACGCTGAGAGATTGTTACGAACACATTAATTTGGATTATTTTCGCATTTTCAGCAGACGCTCGTTTTACCTGTGAGCATTATTTGCACGAACTGATGCTTTTCTTTTTTTTCTTTTTTTTTTTGCTATCTGTTAAATGATTCCTGATTTATTCCTTTTTTTTGTTCACTTAGATTCAGGAGCGGACCCAGAAATATTTGAAGGAGTGGGGGTCCACGGATGCGAAGCCTAACCTCCCCCCTCCCCTTTAGAGAGCGAACGGTGCTAATTGGTACGGTTTAGAACAATTATTCAGTTAGTCAAAATTCTAATTTTAAGAGGGCACCATTGGTGTGATATTTTTCAGAAATCGAAGATGGGGGTCAGGACCTCCCCCCCACTAAATCCGCGACTGTTGATTATATCAGTTAAATACTTATGATGGTTGCGCCTTTAGACATAACCTTTGTAAAAGGATCATTCTAACATATATTAGAAAAATGGTTCCGCCCGGGATCGAACCGGGGACCTTCGGCGTGTTAGGCAGATGTGATAACCGCTACACCACGGAGCCCCGCTGAAAATAGTAAAGCGTACACCAATTCACCTTGTATCTGTTTTAAAGATATGCGTGCTTGAGTATCAGTCGAGAACTTTGTTGAATGATAATGTTTGGTTATCTGCATTTAGCATCTAGCAGTACTATACATCCTTGACTCATCAGTATACCGCACATTATTTTACTATACGTGATTTCAGGTAGAAAAGATCGTTAATTAAGTTGCCATTATTATTACTTCCAGGGGCGGATCCAGAAATATTTTCTAACAGTCTTTCAAATTATCTTTGTCGATCCATCCTACATTTTTGACCCGTCAATGTAAACTTGAAAATCTGACCGTCTTCCGGAAGACCCAGAAGACGGCCTAAATCCGCCCCTGACTTCTTTTTTTTTTTTTGAGTTGCAGTGGCGGATTTGGGGGGGGGGGGGACTGTGTCAGGGGGGTCCTGATGTAACTGATTAACAATCGGTAGGTACAATTATAATTATAAATAAACAAGATTCGACAAGTTTGTAGAATTACTTTGCAATTTTGTGTAATGTCTTCAGATCAGTTATTCCACGCAGTTACCATGTTGACCAATCGACTGGTTGATCAATAACCGAATAAATCGTTGCTTGTAACTAATCTCAAGTCAACCGATTTTATCGGTAGGGTCAATAACCGATTTTTAAAGTGCTCCTTACCCCTGGAGAGCTTTACAAATCCGTGTCACAATTGCATGAAAACTTAAATATCTTTCTATTTGTTGTTGTTATCTTTTAATAAACAGGAAAAAAATAGAAAAAAATATTTATACACAAATCATAACTGAATTTTAGTTTCTGTTTAAGAAACCTTGAATACAGTATGTGACTTATTTGGCTTTGATAGTTACTGATAGGGAGATAAATTTCCTCACATGAAGTTTGTGCGCGATTAATCTTATCATCCATTCCAACCACAGGTGTCTGTCTGCGTGTGTTATGTATTCACGTTGACTCACATAAGTAGATAGAGGTAAAAAAAGTCTAGGCCCAGTAGTTAACGTAAATGAACACCGAGCATTAAATACGTACCTATTTCATAGACAGAAGATATACTGGTAATAAAAGAGGCCTATATCAAGGTCCTGCAAAACCTGATTTGATGTCTATTATTTTCTTCTTTATCTAAGCAAGTAAGATGGGTCAAGCTGGGACAAGTAGTTGAAAGATTTCAGCTCCTACATCGGGTTTCGTATAGTGGTTCACAATTTCTAGATGTAGTTTGTTTTTCTATTAGTTCTGGGTAGGCCTATAGAGACCCACAACTTTATGATAAGGTTTGTTTGCAATTCAAGTTCAAATATGTTATCTCTAATTGTACTTTCGGCAATAACAATTCAATTGAATAACTCATTATTACACCTTCACATCGCGAGCTGGAATAAAAATTACCTTATTTATTCTCTTTTCACTAGACCCCGTGACTAATGTATTTCCACATGTCAAAAGATGTGACATGATGGCGTCCTTCAAAAGTTCTTCTTTGGAGAAAGATAGTCTATGTTGGTGTGAAAGGTACGTTGCTGTCAACTGAAGTAAAAAACGTTTTTCTATTCAAAGCAAAGAAATACTTGTGCAAGAGAATGTTGCCAACTTAACAGGACTGGTCTTTTTCTATATCGAAATAAGGCCAAAATATATTATATTTATTACAAGACAAATGATCGACGCCCCAGGGTAAAAGAAAACACTGCAAGTTCGAGATATATATCTTTAAATATATATTGAAAGGTAAACTTTGCAAGCGCAGCAAAATATGAAAGAGGAACAACCGACACAATTTATTTTTAACTGGACATTTATAACTGGACATTTCTGGCGTGAATTAAAGTGGGTAGCATTCAAAGGCCTATGTATCGGCCAGAAAAACATAAATTTTCTTCCGTTTGAAAACAAAAAAGACAACGAACATTTTTATTTTAATTTGTCGATCACGTGTTGTTGAATTTCTTCAAAAAAGAACAATTCTTCCAAACATTAAGATTGAATCAGCCATTGAATCAGTCTTACCGCTACTGCTTCAGGAATTGCAAATCGTTCCATGGTTTCGGATATTTCAACAAGTTTGGGGATGTGATCATCGAAGAATGTCAAAGCTTTATTTCGGCCGTCAGTCTGAAAAGGGAAATATTTTCCATATTCGTCCTTTATTTTGTATCGTGCTCAAATTTTTTCTTAAACTCCCAGGGAGGATACGGCTAAAGAAAACTTTTTGGCGCGTGCTTTGCCTTAAAGTACCTATCGGTGATATCAACTTCTTTTCCGTTCGTTTTAACATAAACGGTATTATATCCTTTTAAGGTATCTGTTTCATTAAAAACCAGCACAAAACATGTTGATGTGGGCCCTATAGAGATATGATCCGTAGCAATTAGAAAAATTGGCTTTATTATTAAAATATCTACACCTTGTTTTCGTTGTATTTGATATCAGTCATCTGCCTATGCAATAAAGTAGGGTATCTTGTCATTACGACATAGACTGTTAATGATTGGCATATTAATGGGACAAAATCTCTGTCCTCGGGCTCACTACAAGATCAAAATTTGTTACTATCAAATATATCTAAACGTAGACCTACCTTTTCCAACAATATGCGGAAACTGCCCACCAACCTTTGCATATATCTCTTGATCAAATCCAGACAAGAAAAGAAATCTCTGATGTGTGTATTGTGTAATAAAAACGTTATTCCATGAACTTTTATGCCCAGTTTTGTCATACCATTAAATATATATGTCATTGCTGTGAAATCTTCTTTAGAAACAGTGAATGACTTCATATTGATCGAACCGTCCCCTTCGTCTCTGTCCAGTTCATGCACCAGTGACTTTCGACATATTTCAAGCAGACGATCATCTTGGATTTTGAAGTCATTGGCCAACCATGTTCTCATTATTCGAGGACCGCAAATATTGTCCCAACAACTGACAACGACGGCACGAAATAGTTTTGAGGCACATTCAGGAAATTGTCTTATGGTAACATTATTTTCTCTTTCCAATGAACCTCCGCTAAATATTTCGCTTTTATCTGAATAGCTGCCAGTCTTTAGTTTTTCCGGCGATTTTGCTTGTATTAAAGAATCAGCAAATCCCGAATCGCACTCTGAGTTTTCGGAAATATCGGCGTGGTCTTTATGCTGGTTTTTATCTGTGGAATTCTCTTCCTTGACCGTTGACGGAATATTTTCTTGGGCATGGTCTGATAAAGACATGGGCGAAAGTAATTCAGATGATTCTGTTTCAGTCGAAGAAACAAATGCATCAATATCCTCATGAATGTCTTTGCTACTAAAAGTCGTATCACTCATGCATTCTGAACCGTTTTCTCCAAGACCACCATTTTTGAAGGCTTTCCCAAAATTATTCAAACCTCTACTCTGATTTGTCCATATGTCCAAACTTTGTCCATCAATAGATGATACCCTTTGGAGAGTTGCATACACCAGGCTTAGATTCATGGCAATCGAAACCCAGTTGCAAGTTGCTTTATCTAGGGAACAAGACCCTGTAATAGGTGATCTTCGCGTGTAACAATGGAATACTGAGCGACTTCTGGTATAGGAACGCCTCTGCCGTAATGTCAGTATATTGGGTGTTGTACTCCACAAAACCAATCACTTACTCTGTTGTTATTTAGTCAATACATCAGCATACTAGTAGACTGTGAGTCAACATTAACCTTGCTTATCACATGGTGATAATGGCGCAGTGAAAGGACATTTAAGTCCAGTCCGTGCTCTGCTCGTAAGCGTCGCAAAAACAATGTCCTCACTAATACCGACACTGATATAATCTGTGTTCGAAATATTCATTGACCTAATCAGTAGAGTTTATACCTTTATCTGGTCCAGTCACGGATCTAGTATAGGTTAACTGGGGTAAATAAACATACACGTAATATTGGGTTAACAGGTTTCAAAATCCATCGCATCAATCAATAAACAAAAACAATATTAATAAAACGAAAAATAGGGATAATTAAAAACAACAAAGAATTCAATATAAAGTAAAAGGCTTTATCTACATCTGTTCTTTTTGTTATCAGTGGTATTTAATTACTACATGCGTATTTCATCGTTTTTGTGGTAGTTGTGAGGGAAATTACTTTAAAAATCCTTAAAAAATGAAGATTTAGAATCCATTACTTATATAACAATGAAATTACAATTACAAAAAAAAAAGAAAAATAAAATAAGTAATAATGAAAAAAAAAGGTTTGAAATATCTAAAGGGGGAAAAGCATTATATTATTTCACTTTTAAGGACTTTCCAATTTACAGTAAGCTATATTTTAATACATACACGCAGTTGTAAGATTTGTACCATCTTTATTCATATCACAGTAGAAACTGGACGGCTGGTTTCAGTGTTATCACTTTGAAACTGAGATGTCCACATAAAATGCAATGACATAACTCTATTACATAAAAAGTCAATATACAATGTACAGGTATAAAATGATAATAGTAATTATTTTTTATCCATTTTGATACTGAATGTCTTCCCAAACTGTTAAAGAATACCCAATGGAGTTATCACATTCTGCATGTGCACTAGAAATATTTGGACAGCCACAATATTTGGACTCAAAACAACAGATAAAATTGTCCTCTTCACCTGGTAATCTATACATCTACAGTTTTGCCACATATGTATTTACAATTTCATATATTTACAAAATCAACAGTGACAGCAGTTTATTAGTGAAGTTACTCTTGGTTTCTATATAAGGCTGTTTATGCCATTTTGGAATGTTTATTAGAGTCAAATGTCAAGAGGATAATGTTATCTATCTCCCAGCTCCTCTTCATCTTCTTCTTCTTCTTCTTCTTCTCCCTCTTCTGGCTTGTCCAACTTCAGTTGTTTTTGGCTGGCGAGAGATGTCTTGATGATGGACATGAGCGCCTCCTTTTGGCCAGAGTCTGATGGTGGGGGCATCCCGCGTAGCTGGTATACTGTCACCTTGCCATCACTATCACCAACCAGAATAGACTGAAAGAAGAAAATATATTCAATAACAAGAAATAATATCTTTTGTGATGTTGACCTTGATGAATTTAAGTTGTAACCTTTAATTGACAAGTTTATTGTCTATCTGAATTTATAAGTATAAAGTTCAATAAATAGATTTATATGAATCCACCTGTGCTAATTTGCTTTCTTGTTAACATATATTCACAACTAGCACAACTCACTACTGGTACTTACAGGTAAATTATGCTCACTGCGTATGCTAGTCACTACACATATCTATGGTTAGGCAAAGGATTATTTGATAAAACATTTTTATTTACCTCAGAATTCTTTGCAAATGTCACTGTAGTCAATCGCTGTCCAGATGCTTCACTCCAGATGGGATCAAGCCTTAAATAAATGAGAAAAAAATGCTTAGTGTTATAATCCAAAAAGCTTTCACTAATGTCCCTATGGCTAAATGACACAATGGATTATTTGTAAAAATTTTGCTGTCTTAAATTTTCTTGTCTTTTATCCAAAAAGCACTTTACAATACATAAATTGAAAGAATTTTTGTAAAAAAATATTTAAACAAAAACAAAGTCTCATACAGAGACAAGTAAATAAATCACACCAACAATAAGTAGCAAACATGAGTAAATTTTGAGTTTACTTAGTCCCTCTCCCCCCCCCCCCCCCCCCCAAAAAAAAAAAAAAAAAAAAAAACAAACTTACGTGCTTTCACTGAGATCCCATATCTCTACTCTGGCCTCATTAACACAAGCAAATACTGTAGAAGATCTTGGGGACCAACAGACATCAAATACAGATTTCTAAAATAAGCACGGGCCAAGTTAATCTTTCAATAATCATACAAATTTTCTTTTAAAATGCACAATAAACATATAAAACAAAAATTACTTCTATTTTAACAGTAAAATAACAAATATTTTAGCAAAACTTGCAGGAGAGCGTACAAAATACTGTTGAAATTATCAGTAATTATGGTATAAATCAATGTGGTTTTTCTTAAAGTGAAAAAAGCTACTAAAAATTGTATACACTTACATTGATTCTACACAACAATTAACCACAAAAAGAAATAGAAGTAAAAATGCACTCACAGTTGAAGAGTAACAGCTGAGTACTGGCTGCAGGTGCTCCTGATGCCACAGCCTCATTGTCCAGTCTCCACTGCAGCTTACAAAGACATCAGGCACAAATGGGGACCACTGGATCTTGTAGACTGGTCCCTGGAAATGAAAAACACAACATGTAACTGAATGAGAAAGGTGTTATTTGGTGGCCTGCTTATCAACTGAAATATTTTACAAAGTAGAGTGTGAATCTTTGGTAACAGTTGGCTTCTGTTTTACATTAAAACTATAAAGGTTTCTAAAGCTGCTAAGTGTAAGTGGATTTAAAAATTTGTTTTACAGTGGAGTGCTTTGATTAATTGTGGACAACATTAGTATTATATAATGTTATTAGTGCTGACTTACATTATGTGCTGTGTATGTATCTAAGAACTGCTCATTATATGAGCAGGAACATTTGTGTATGTGACCCTCTTCTGTGCCTGCCAAATAGCTGGAGAAAAAGAACAAAATTTGGTTACTACTGCCAACAAGATTATTTTAAACAAAAAATCTGAGAACAAATACAATTATGCCAATTCCTTTTTTAAAAATAATTTTCCATTCTTGGGAGATTACTCAGTATGAGCAGAAATAAAATATCAATCAAAAGTCTATTAAACACTGATCAAAATGCACTAACATGTTTGTGTCCTTGGCATTGAAATCAAAGCAAGCACCACCAGATGTTCTCGTGATTAAAGAGTCTGCCTTCTTTTCTTTACCACGTAACCCAACTAATGCTGCTTTGGAAGCCATTCTTTTCAACCTCATCAAATCTGAAAAATGCCATTACCCAGTCTTAAGTTAAAATCGCTAATTTCTCTATTCCCATTTGATAAGATAATATCATTTGAATTTTAAATTTTTAGACAAATCAACATTATCTATCAAAATACATATAATAAGCATACATATACATATGTTAAAAAAAGTTTTAAAAAGACAAAATTTTTGAAAATTTAATTTAAACATGATGTAACTGTAATATCCACAGCTTACAATGTACAAGTTCACTAAATATGTAAGAGAGAATTTGAAAATCACTTACCTGTGCACTCAAACCCTTTCCTAATCGACCACTGCGTCACTCTCCCATCTGTAGAGACTGAGATCAGTACCTCAGCTCTCTCCTCTGAACCTCGCTCTTTCTCTATCCACCTAAGCTGCCACACTGGGGCAATGTGTTTGCCATTGGATTCACTGGAAAACAACCATTTGCATAAAATGACAAATAAAAGATTAAATGTAAATCAAAGGACACTGTAAGTGAAGTAAATGGTCAATGGGTGACATTTAAAAAGTCTGCTATAATGGCTGTAAATATACATGTAGATAATGACACTGGATACTTACAAACTGTCCAGCACAGGTTCATTGTTTTGGCTTCTTACATTGTATATGGCCACTGTGCCATCATACATTCCAACCTGTAAAAAAGATGAAAATAAATAACAGTGAATATATGTAAATATAATATTAGTAGTACAAGCTGCATCTAGGCACTAAACCCATGGTCAATCAATATATTTTCAAAAAGAAAGGCATATATAGATAAACACACATATCAAAACAAACTGTGAACTACCTATCAAAAGCCAGCAAAAATTTTAAGTGAAGGTTAAAGTACAAAGTTTAATTACTCACCGCCAGCAAGTTCGGATGGGTGTTTGAAAAATCTAACGATGTCACCCCTTGTTCTGTGGTATAAATACGTTCAGGAAACTAAACAAAACATAAAAGCAATGAAACCAATTAAAATATTTTCTCTTTTAAAATTTTATTACAGAGCTCAGTCAGTATATTGACTAATGAAAAAATGTTCAAATGTTACTTTTTCCTGGACCATCTCTATCAGTTTGCTGTACATAGTATGCCTGTGTTTATTACTGTTTACTCTCAATGCTAAATAGGTATCATACATGTACATACCTCTGGATTTTTGAGTGACCAACAGCAAACCATGCCACCTTTTTGGTTTGTAAATTCAAACTGACCATATCCTATTGCTATCAGATCCTGTAAAAATAAATAAATAAATAAATAAATAAATAAATAAATAAATAAAAGACTAGTTTTATCATATAAAGCAGCATTTTAAAGCAGATTATTTAATTTGTCTGTAACATTCAGTTCCTAAGGCCTGTGAGTTCAAAGGGACACTCAAAATTTTTGATTTAAAAAAAAAAAAGAGTAACTTTTAAATGCAAATTTCACAACTACATGTATGTATTCTCTACTTACTGGATTTTTCTTGTTCCATGACATACAACTGACATTTTTGCCTTTAGTCAGTGGACAGGAGTATACCCAAAGTCTCTCAAGACTGGGCCCTGCATCACTGACAGCCACCTGGTTGGGCAGGGGAGTTTCACTTTCACTTTTAACCCTGTCAATGTCTGTAAACAATGATTTATATAAATACAACTTGTCTATGTTTTTCTACTGCCATTTATTATGTCTAAAGTACAGTATTTAAAATCATGTGTTGAGCTGAAACTGATATCTACTGTTACACAATTTTAATTCCTAAATAATATAATAAATTGAAATGATGACTGCCATTTGATTCACTCCAACATTAGCTCCAGGTACATAATGACAATAAATGTCAAATATCTGGTTTCATTGTGATCTAACAGTAAAAGAGGTAGTGCTTACAAATATGCATGAGCCTTTACATACTGTTTACCTCTCTATAACATTTTCCTCTATGTAATTTTTCCATTACCATCCCCATTTGCATAACATGAGCAATTATTTTATTCTCTTTCTTTTTCCTATTGCATGACCCATAGTCCAAAACACCACCATATATTTTCCTACAAAGGTGTCCAACCAACAATACCAGTATTGCACCTATTCAAAATCAATTCCTCCTCATAAACAAAAATAAACTTACCTTCAAATATTGGGAAGTGTCTATAAGATGCTTGTCTTGGTTGGTAACTGTTGAGATTTACAACTCTTTCCATGATTACAAGATTCTTTTTCAATGAATCCGACTAAAACAAAAAAGACACATTATAAGTATGTACTTTAACTTCTAGAATAGACATATAAAAATATAACTGGGAGAAAAAACTAAATAGTTCTCCTCATTTAAACCCCTTCAAAGAATGAACAACTGTCAGGGTGTAGACTGTCATTACTTAAAAAATGTTACAATTCAAATAAATCATGACATAAACATTCAGATGACAATGATCACACAATTGTATTTGCTCTCAACTTCAAAAAAGAATAAGATAATACATCTGATATGTCAAAACAAGTTTCATGATAATAAAGAGTATTTTCTCACCTTCATTATAGCTTCACCTTCCTCTTTGGCTTTCTGTTCAGCTGTTGGCCCAGTGGCTGTGCTGCCCTGTGCTTCTGACCCCATCATTACTGAGGACATAATAGTCGCCCGACTCTCTGTAAGGAGTTTGTAGTGTAAATATTACAATACCACAAAAAAAATCACTAAAATCAATAATAAAATTAAATCAAATTTAATACTCAAATATTCAGAAATAAGGATATTTCCAAAACTTGTACTTCTTAGCTGCCTTTGATAAAATGATAAGCAATAAATAAATAAATAAATAAATAAATAAATAAATAAATAAATAAATAAATAAATAATCACCAGGCACAGGCTCACTGTAAACATTACCTGTCCCTGGCCTGATGCTGATCTGTGTCTGTCCCCTGGACACTGCTCCAGCTGGGGCATCAGTCTGTGTGTCACCCTCAACAGTCTCAACCTTCTGTTTAGAACTGACAGGTCTGCTCATGGTTCCCTCTGGATTCTCTTCACCTGCCTCATCTCCTTCCTCACCTGGATCACAAGACAATTACATCAGAGACATTGTTAATTAGCTAACAGTTGCATAATTATGGATAAAATGCTGAGATTTAACACTGCTTCACACATTGCTAGTTTTCCCTTAGCATGTATTTTTAATCTAATGACTGTTTGCCTCTATGCTCATTTTAACCTACTTTTCTTTTGTGCTGCAGCCAACTCCTCATATGTGTCATACATGTCCCACGTGGCAGCTGTTATTCCCACATCCTAAAAGTAATAACCACATCTCAATTGACTGACCAAAATTGGCAGAAATTTATTACGAAAGAGGTCACAAGAGCTTATTTACATATAAAACCTAGAATCAACTTCTAAACACTATTAATTTCTTTTTTTTGTTTATGCTGAATAAAAATCAAGTTCAAAAGTTCAAAGTTGAATCTGTATGACAGAACAAATAATTTCCTACATGAATACCAAGCTGATACTTACGACATATCCAATCTTTTGAGTCTGTACAAGCTTGAGTTTAGGTGGGTCATTGAAGGTGTTCATTTCTCTCTCCATGTACCTGTCATTACCTGCTCTGCTCTTGCATAACTAAAATAAAGATTAAAATTATGTGTATAGCATGCCTGATCCTTCTTGTGAATTTTGACTGGCAAAATTTTGGTCACGTTTGAAGATTCATAATTATACCATTCATAAGCCACATACAGCACTGTGCAACACATGTGGCCCAATGGTTAATAGTTCCTGACATGTGACTTCATAGTTTAAATTCTTTGCTGCCTACCTCTTTGTATTTTTCATTCTTTTCTTTGACAACAGCTGCTTCATCACTTTCCAGAGATACACAAGTGCCTGGCATGTCCAGGATCCAGATAGTCTCAGTCTCACTTAGTGTAATATCAATAACCTTAGCCAGGTCACTCTCATTCAACACCTCTTTCACCTCTTCACGCTTGTGCTTTATATCTGCAAGAAAAATGTACATAAAGTATACATAGATATGACACTGCAGATGACTATCACATATCAATAAATATGTTTAATTGTGTGGAATATGCAAAGTAACTTAAAAGTGCGTGATCTTATAACATATCCAATTCTTAAAATTATCAATGCAGAATTATGAATAAAAAACAGAAGGGGCATTCCAACTAGACATTAAAAAAAATCTTTGCATGAAATACTTACCTCCCCAGGCAGTTACTGAGGTATGTGCTTCCTCCACATGGCCCACCATAGACTCTCCCAGTGATCTCTGTTCAGACTGATCAGCACTAAATACAGATCTGAAAAGACAAGAAAAGAAAAGCTTAGTGCCACACAACCTACATGTGTAATTGTGATAAGTTTTGATAAATATTAATAAAATATTTCAGTTAAATTTTATACTACTTTGTAGTCTTATAAGCAACTTTAAATAAATCTAATTTTCATCAAGTTATAAAAACCGATATTGCTTTCTTTTCTTGTTTGTTTTGACAGTGTAGATAATCTACAACAATTAGGATAAAATTTTAAGTAAGCAAATTGCAATTCACAGCAACCATATAAATCACTCCACCCTAATATAATACAGAAAATGTTGGTTATATCTTTTATAGTCAAAGTAAGTAGATAATAAACAATTTTATATTATAGAAATACATATATGCAAAATTAACCTTCCAAAAGGGCCTCCACCATAAGTACTTTGTGACATGTTCAAAGTCCCTGCTTGATAGATCGAAGCCTGAGACATCAGATCAGTAGGCTAAAGTTAAATATAAATATTAATAATTAGCACAATAAAGTTTCTCTATGTCATATTGCTATTAAATAATGTCTTTCTTTCTAAAATATTAACAGAACAACTAGTAATAATATATACATAAGAAAAACTGAAAAATAAAATAAAAACAAAACAAAACAGTAGCATCCATCTTCAATTCCTTTCCAAAATAACATGCGATCTAACTGATCTTGAACATTACAATACAATACATAATGCAATCTTTTAATTGATAAAAATAATAATAAGTAAAAAAAAATCTGAATTTCATATAACTTGAATTTACTATGTTGGAAAAAAGATAACACTTACTGTTCCTGCAGATCCATCGCCAAGTATATTGCTAGATTTCTTGACAGCTGAAGGATCCAAGTGAAGCAAAGGTTGTGGTGTCACATCTTGTCCTAAGTCATCCAAAATCTAAGTACCAAATATGAATAAACTTTAACCTGGGTACAACTGTATAATAACCACAACTGCTGCATATCTTATTCATGATAAAATATTTAATGAAATCAATTTTTTTCATTTAATGAAATAAATTAAAAATAATATCTATCAAAAAACCTGGTATGAATACCTGGACATATGGCTTTCCTGGAACAGTCCCCCTAACTCCTTCACTACCTGCCAATTTCTTACCACTTGCAGAAGAAAATACATTACTCCTACTACTGGCAAAGGTTGCACCTTGACCCCCTACTCTGCTTTTACTAGTTCCAGAAACTGCTGCAACACTCTTGCGGGAGGTGGTGCTAACCCCAACCTTGGAAGCACTAAAACAATAAAACATATTTTCCACAATAACGTGTGTGTGTGTGTGTGTGTGTGTGTGTGTGTGTGTGAGAGAGAGAGAGAGAGAGAGAGAGAGAGAGAGAGAGAGAGGAAAGTTTCAGTGGTACGCCTTAACTTTTTTCTCATAAATGGCACAAAATTTACAGCACACAAAACAGGCATTGTTATTTTTACTATTTATCATACATTTTCGGCTGCTAAATTAATTGAGAATAAACTGAAAACTTACCCTGTCCTTTTCTGTGCATGAGACATCTTAATCACACGCACAGAAAATTTGAAAAAATATGATTTTGATAAGCACTAGCACTTTTTGCCGTAATAGTGTATATGTTGCTAAGCTTTTGGATGCCTTCGGTATAAACTACGCTCTGATTGGTTAATGTTCTTTACAGATGGTCCGAACTTTTTCTGTTCATTCGTCAGTCACTTTCAAATTTATTACAAGAAACGTAATTAATTTGATTATTCTGTTGTATTGTCGTATATTACAAAATACTATAATGCAGATAGCTGTGTTTTAGAAGATATTTCACCAAAACATTTCCGAAAATCCATTTCAGTTCAACAAATCAGAGATCGTCTCTTATCACACTTAGCCTGCTGGGAACCCCCAGTCTCGTTTCCAATCGTAGTTTACGCTATCCCATAATTTAGGCAAAGATGGCGGAGGTAAGAAATAAAATTTTCATTGAAACGATGAGATAAATAGTAGAATAACTACGAAATATATGTGCGCTTTTGCTTTATCTTGATATGAATGTGTTCATTATATGTCTTTTCAAATCTTTAAAACCGGTAAACATTATTCCGTTGTCAAGATGATAAGTTTTTGATGGGGAAAGCCCAATGCAAACCCAAAGCCGCGCCAATTTCTTTATTCTGTTCGGCATTAGGGAAGCCTACTTCAAATGTAAGAGTTGATTATGTGTTGTTTGCATTTTTTCTTTAAATATATATTTTTAAATTTCAGCCCACCACAAGTGAATCGGGCCAGTCTAGTCCGGGTAAGTCTCGTTCTTTGAACTTGGACTTTTATAAAGTTGTGCTTATTATAATATGTTGCAACAAAATACATATAGCTGGCAAAGACGGGCTACCAATACACTGACAATAGTCCAGTTAGCATTATGAAATGAATAATATACCGTTTATATTTTAAATTGATTAATCTTAAGCTTAATGAGTTTTGCTTGCTTTTAGCTTTGCCATTCGAAATCTATGCAGTTGTAGAGTAGAATTAAGTGAGGAAACCATGATATTAAAAACTCAATTTAAATGTGCTTTATTGTCCAATATTTTATTTATTAATATCAGAAATTTTATGATCTGGATGCACGTTTAAGAAACTGTGAAAACAAACAAATTCATAAATGGCCTTGTATTTAAAATCTAAGTAACAGAAGAATTAAACAAAATATCAGTCAAAAAATATATTTGTCATTTAAAAGTTATAAAAGTATTATTTAAAGGTGTTTTGTCCCATTTTTCAAAAGAAAATCAGAAAATTATTGATTTGTTATTTATTTGTTAAAAATTAAATAGTCCTGTTTAGAGTTTTTTCAAAAACATATTTCAGAAGTATTGAATTAAACCAAGTAATGTTTTTTTCTTTTTATTCATTTTCTTAATGCTTTTCTTTAATCTATACACAAATTTGGAGGCTTAAAAAATAGCACTTAGTGGTATGATTTCTTAATCTAGTTGAAAATTGAGCAGTTACTTCTTTTGATTAAGATTTGCTCATGCACAGATTCTCTGTTTTGATAAGTTGTGAAAACTTTGTGTAATGACATTTCAAAGATTGTTATTATTACAAAAATAAAAAAGTTAAAGGGATAATAACTCTTCGTTTTGGTCAAAAAATGAATTTTCCTGGAGTAAATAACAATTTTCCCTTACTTACCAATGGTTAATGAATCCATTTTTACACTCAGAGTTAGTCCCTGGTTTTTTTCTAAAAAGTTTGGTTTTTTGTTAAAATCTCTTAAGAGATTATAACAGAGTATAGCCATCAATGGAGGTCATGTGATCTGAAGACATCCTCAGATATCAGAATAATAGCTATAATTGCTGTTTTTGTCGTAAAACAATATATTATATTTCTATGAGTTATTCACAATGTTTTTATTGTGAAATATAGATCTCATATGAAAAGTTATTATCCCTTTAAGATATGCCTCTCTTTTGTTGACTGCCTATTGCTTTAAAACCTTTCTGTAAATAAGAGAAATCATAATTTTTCAAAAAATTATTTTCCAGATACTGACCAGGATTTTGAGCCCACAGTTGATATGCTTGTCCATGAGTTTGATGATGAACATACTCTAGAAGAGGAAGAAGCTCTCAGTAATGAAAGCTGTGGAAGTGAAGTTGATGACTTACAAAAAGTAATAATATTTGTTCTACCTTTGTTCTTTTTACTAAAAGAGAATTCCGTGTTACTTACTTGTCTTATTATTAGATTAAAGGATGTGGGAAATTAATTTTTATCAGTGGAGTAGACACATGCATCCTTATCCTGGAGTTCCTTTGACAAATGCCAGCATAAAAGCAGTCATGAAGATAATATTTTATGGTATCATATAAACATATTATTTCAGGAATCTGAAATGCCATTAGAAGAGTTACTGGCAATGTATGGTTATGGTGGAGGAGGTCCCCCAGCAGACACACGCTCCAGCAGTGAAGAAGAAATCCTCAGTAACAGAGACCTTACATTAGACAAGGAAGAAATTGCCAGAGATTTACTTAAGAACAGTGGTGATGATGATGAGGAAGACACTAGTGTGGACAACCTGCTGGACAGTGTTGAAGTCCCATCACATACTTCAAGACTGCTAAGATGTAAGGAGAAATTTTGGAACAAATTGCATAGTTTAACCTAATCAGAGTTCCTTCATTTTTTTATGGGTTCTGCATTAGTTACATTTAAGATTAAATTTAGTCAAAGCACTTTATTTTTTACTGGTTAAAACTTAAAAGAGAGAGTATTATTTTAAAAATGACATAAATTAAAATGTGAGGCCTCTGATATCAGTGGAGTTAACACAATTCCAGTAAGACAACAATTCACAGACCAATATAAAGATAATTATTTTGGTTTCAGCAAGCAACTTGGATGAATTGGACGATGAGTCTGAAGACGAAGATTATGAACCAGTGGCTGAAGATGATTGGAAAAAGGTAATTTGATATTATGATAAAGAATATGGTTGTGTTAATCAGTGCTTAACTTAATTATTTATGGAAGAAACACTGCTAATGTATAACATGAATGTGGATTATTTCATTACAGACAATACAGGTCGGCTCAGACTATCAAGCCCAAATTCCAGAGGGACTATGCAAATATGGAGATGCCCCTGGTAAGTAAGCTAACCATGATATTAGGGTTTTTGTTTATATTTTACAGAAATTTATAGTTGATTTGAGTTAAATAAGGTTTTCATGTTTTATTTAAAAAATACATAAGCACATCATTGTTTTCAGCATATTTTGCTGTAAATTATTATTTGTCAATAATTCCAGCTTATGAAAATGAAGACAGGCTGTTATGGGATAACAGAAAACTTTCAGACGAGAAAGGTAAATATTTTGACAATTCCATATAGCATAACTTCTGACACAAATAATTCTCTCACATTTAACTTAGATCTCAGTTGTCTATTTTTTTAATAATAGATGGATACACATTTTAAATGGGACCTTTATCCCTTTGAACCTAGTCAGCACTAAATAAAAACAATGGAAATCCTTTTATTGTAGTTGAAAAATACCTGGCTGAAATTCAGAACCAGAATCTTCAAGGTGCTCAGGGGGTAAATGCTATTCCTGAAGGTGCTCATATACGGGATGATGAACAGGTATTTGGATATATTATCTCTGTCAGTAGTATGTGCCATAGTCACAATAGAGATTTTTCAGTTATGAGTATTGTTCCTTTAAATAAATTAGTATTCACTTCAAGAATAATAAATTGTGTGAGGTTAAAAAACTTTTTGAGTAAAATGCACTATTCTATTTGAATGAAATTATTTTGTTTTATAGGCATTATACTTATTACTGCAATGTGGGCATAATCTGGAAGAAGCTTTAAGGAGAAGAAAAATGCAGGCAGTACCACCTACAGGTGACCTTTCACATACTAAAAAAATGGGAATTGAGATTGAGATAAAAAGTATATGTAACTTCTTAAGCTGATGGGAGGGTTGCACATCTTTATAGTTAAATCGGCAATTTTGCAACAGTTAGCAATGAGAGTCATTTGAGATAGCCCTCATAAAATTAAGAAAGATTTTGAGTAATTTGGAGCAGAGTGGGGTTAGAAAAGACTAGTTTGTGTGGTGCAGCAGTGAAGAAAAAATTGACAGATCATTTTCTGGTTGCTTTCCCTAAGTTCTGTCAAATTACAGTCCACTGCATAACATGACTTCACCATATTTTGCACCTCCTTTCTTTTGCTTTCTAAGGTGACGTTTTTGGCTCACAGAGTTTCACCCTCGTGGCTAAAAAGTTAACCCATGTCATTTCTTGTTAAGATTCTCCCTAATTTTCTAGTTTCGAGTGACATCACATTATGCTGACAGGCTTGTTTAGGCTATCTCAGATGATTTCCATCAGTACAAACTTTAAAAAATTGTCAGTTTTGTTTTTGAAATTGTTGACATTTTTTCAGATCCAATGAGTTTGTGGTCTGAGGAAGAATGTAGAAATTTTGAAAACGGTTTAAGAACATATGGAAAAGATTTTTACCTAATTCAACAAAACAAGGTAGGTGACTGTTCATTATTATCAAAATATTTACTGTACATTTTATTCTGGAATAATATCCCTCATTATAAACTTGCACCTTCTTATTTAAATGAGCTTGTTTCACACTATGTGCCATCAAGAAATCTCAGATCAGGTGATCACCTTCTTCTTAAGGTTTATAAGGCAAGATTAGTATCATACGGTGATAAAGCTTTTAAATTTGCAGCACCAAAAGAATGGAATATTTTACCCATCAGTCTTAGACAAATTGTGGACCCTGGACACTTTAAAAAGGAACCCACCTTTTTAAACAAAATTATCTTTAAATTCTTTAAAAAAAAACACTTCTTAAGAAAAACTGTTCTTAGTCATAGTTTTAAATTTCCCCTTTTTTATCCATTTTATATATCCTTTCATCTTATAACCATTAGCAATATTTTTCTTTTAATTTGAATTTTATAATTTTTGTAAAGTCTACTGAACACATGTTGGATTTTAGACTATAAATAAATATTATTATTATTATTATTATTATTATGTAGCATGCCTGTAGCAGTTTAGGATACCTGAAAGTGGTCACACGATGCATATTTATATTTTAAGGGAATCCTTTCAGTTAGGTAGTTTATTCTTTTAAATGTATTTTGGAATGAAGTGTGGATTTTTTTCTTTTATTTTCAGGTGCGTACAAGGTCAGTAGGAGAACTGGTGCAGTTTTATTATTTATGGAAGAAAACCGAGAGGCATGATGTTTTTGCCAATAAGACAAGATTAGAAAAGAAGAAATACATACTCCATCCAGGAGTAACGTGAGTATATTTGCACTTTATGACAGATGCTTTCTATTTGAATACCTCACCCGTATACTTTGGTGTAAGACATTTGTTATTTAGTACAATTTATGCTATTCATGCCAAAAAAAAAACTTCTTGTTTTTCTTTACTAGGACGCTAATTTAGGGGATTGAATGCCCATTTATCTATACATTTATATAACCATACAGATAATAATTTAACTTATGAAAGAGAAATGTGCTTAAGAAATGATGCATGCATCTTTATTTTGTGTGAGTGACATAAAACTGACAGACAAAGCAACATTTACTCTATGTGGTTTTTTTTTCTCTTCCAGAGATTATATGGACCGGTTTTTGGATGATGCTGAGAACCCCCCACAAGCTGCCAGAGACCGTGCTTCTAGTCCTGTTCATTCTTTATTATGGAGAGACCCTAAAAGACATCATCTACATTTACGCCACATAGATAATATGGAGTCTGGCCCCATATCCCCACAAAAAATGGGAGTAGATCTCTCTGCTGGTGCCACTGTAACTGTAAAACCAGAGCCCAGAATGGGACACCAGAGTCTGGAAAATACTGTACACATTGCAGATGTGGTATCACCACACCACACACCATACTTAGAAGAGGATCATACAGAACCAGATGCAAAACGTGTCAAGCTTGAATCAAATCCAAAAGAATCTGCCCATGAAAACGACAAACTGAAACAAAAATTATCTAATCACGTTGAAGTGGCATTCTCGAGTGTCAACCAACCGGTGCACAATATAGGTGACACTGCAGTTAGTTCAATTGATAAAAATGAGAATCATCAAGCATCAAGGGTGACAGAGTCTTTAGCTCAGTGAACATTCCAGACAATAATGTGCAATAATCACAAGAAAACCAAACGCATAGTTTTAGAAAAGTTTTAAGTATAGAACTCAGAACAGAATGAAGATCTCCAGTTTATGTTCTGTAGACAGTTTTGAAAAACCTAAGATTAGATTAGAATGTTACCTCAGTTAAGTGTAGTAGTTCTGGTTTTGGAAAGAAATAATAGCAGAAGCCATACTTGAAGAGAAAATGTACTTGATCATGCAGCAATTTTTAAACCAGTTTAAGAGTTTATTTATGAACAGTACTTAAAGCAATGTGTACATTATGAATAGCCATGGTAAGTGTAGTTTTGTCATGTACATGTTAAGTTCCCTTTGCTTTAAGATAACTGATTTATCAGGAATACAACTTAGTTCTGGATTATTAGGTCTTCCTTTTGTATAGATATTGCAGTGAAACATATTTAAAAAATGATTAATTATGTTTGTCTCCTTCTTTCAAACTGAGTGAAGCTGCTGGAGTGTGTTCACTTCACTTATTAATGAAAAATGTTTTGCCAGTTCTTTAAGAGACACCAGGCTAGTAAAGAGGTTTAAATTTTATATAATACTAGCCCACTTTTAGACCCCTATTGCCCCAAAAGCCTCAAAGCTTTTGGACATACTGTTATGGAGTTTAGGATATTGAGTGAAAGTAGATGTAAGTACAGTTATTAATTTATCAATTTAGCATTATCATTAGTATGAATCTGTGTTTGATGTAATTTGTATATTCTTGCTATAAACAATCAAGAATTTGTGCTGATGGCACTTTGTAAATTGTGAAAACATTATTACTGCCTTGGAGGAAAATAGCACAATAGTTCTGAGGTAGATGATGTTTTAAATTAACACTTTTATTATGATAATTTATTTATTTAGTCATTTAATTTTGCTTGAAGAGATTATTAGCAATACACTTTCAATATGGTATATTGAGAGAGAAGTGTCAAGATAACATGAAAGACTGAAAACTAGATTATTTGTTGCTTCAAGGTCTTATGTGTGCAAGCTCTTACAAAATTCTATGTCTCATATGTATCAGAAGCAACATGGGTGTTGTGTTCATCTGTTCTATTTTTGTAAAATACAAATGTTACATTTATGTCCCAAATATCTCAAATTATGACTTGAAAAGCAAAGCTGCCCTCCATGACAACTCACTTGCAAACATACCCATACATACTGTCTCCGGCACTCCCTCTTTTTCTTTAATTCTTTTTCTTCCTTTCTTTTTCAAGAAAAAATCACAACTAAATGGGCAATTGAATTGTTGTCAATTAGACAGAAAAATTAATGATACCTTTTCACTGCGGTAGAACCTTGGGGTTTTTTTGTTTTTTTTCATTATTTTGTAATTGAATACACATTGTTTATGGGAGAAAATGATTCATACATATTGTGAAATGATGCCCTAGTTGATGTATTAGTAGTGCATTTATTTCCAGTGTTTTGGAATGCACTCATTTTGTTGGCATTTTCCACTAAGTGGATTGTAAAATAATGTACATGTAGTAGTGATAGCACTGAGCTGTTATTCAAATACTTAAAAAAAAGTCACTTCATTGAAGTAGTAGAATCTGTGTTTGACTAAGAAAGTGTTATCCAAATAGAATGTGGCAATTCAAGCATTACTTTTTTTATACAGAGGACATTATGTTTTATGATATTGAAACAAAATATCTTGCATCATTGTAGATAGGGAATACTGTATAATAAACATATTTAAATAAATCTTTTTGGCTTTCTTGGAATATGAATGGCATTTCAACCATTATAATCTTGTATTTATATAATCTGTATGTTTGTGATGTAACTGAAACCAAGATTTAAATTAATATCTAAAAGTTCTTATAATTTATTTCTTAGTCTACCAGATTAGATAATCTGCAGGGATTCCACTTCACAAAAAATGATTATCCGATATATGATTGAATTTTCATCTTCTTTGGAAAATGTATTTTGTACTTTTATTTTAAATGACCCAACATCGCCTTAATTTTATATCGTAAAAATATTTTAAAAGCAGAGTTATTAATAAACAGTGAGAATGCGTCATTGCAACAGTCACATCTAACGCAATTCAATAGATTCAAGATGGCGTTCTCCATCATTGCAAGAGGCTCGTTAGTTCTTGCTCGTTGTGGTAAATTTTCAGTGGGTCACGGTAACAATATTCAGCTTTCTCTCTTACAAACAGTAAGAACAGTCAATGCAGGATGTCAGAAATCATTTATATCTACAGATAGTGAGGGAGATGGCCCAATACTTTCAGAAAGGGACAGAGATGTTTCGGGACTACCACCCTACTTGAGACAACGAATGAAGCATGCATATTCACCTGCATGTGTAAATTTGACTGATCCCGAGTCAAAGACGCGTAAACAGCTCAGGAAGTTATATGGAAAGCATGGTCATAATTCTGGAATAGATCCAGGTAGGAATTCGATGAACGGCTAGTGTATTGACTAACGGCTATAAAGCCAACTTCTCCAGAAAAAAAAAAAAAAAAAAAAAAAAAAAAAACGCTTGTTAGAGGCCAGTTGGCTGTTGTCATTTTTGTGGTGAAGGATTCTTGCCAAACCATATTTTACTTTTGAAGAACAAAGTTTTAAGTATTTTAAAGGAAATAAGAGTTTGGAAGTATGGGAGTAAGGAAATGTGAGTTAAAAAGAGGAAGGTGCCTAGGGGGAAATTCTAGGGTAATGTTATAGTGGGAATCAGGTGTTTGCAATCAGGTGTTTGGTTTAATATAAACATCCAGACATTTTGAGCTTGTGATTGTACAAGCTGCCTCCCTATGCTTGATCTCAAAAGTCATAGATTTTTCATATTTTTGTCTCAGGTATCATGTGGCCAACTAAGGAAGAAATCCAGGTTTGGAAAGAAGATGAAAAGAGATATGAGCAAACTCTTTACCAAATGTGGGATGCTCTAGCAATGAAAAAGAAGAAAGAGGAAGACAAGATGAAGCAGAGGTAAGAATGTGATTGTGACCGTTGGCTCATGTTTGACCAATTTGTATCAAAAAGACTTATCTGTCTTGCAGGATGTATCCATCTCTATCTATCTCTTTTTTATTTGTTATTATTACAACATACAGACAATATATATATTGTGATCACTGTGTCTGCCTATGTTGCTGACCTTAAAGTTAACAGTTCACTGTATAATAGCCAAACCATATTTAAGTTTTGCTTGAAGTTTTTTTTTGGGGGGGCCATTTCCTTCCGAAAATATACTTGAACATATTATTTTTCTAAAAGATATTTATTAATAATATTATTTTAACTATCATTGCATGTAATTTGGTGAGGTTTTACCAATAAGTTCCAGATCATATTTTTGCTTTACTTCAAATTTGCTGGGCTACCTAGCTTTGTTAGGCTTCCAGTAAAGGTTGCAGGAGTATTCCGGCTGTACTTCAAGAGTACTGCTACAACATATTATGGTTTGTAAGGGAAGGCAGGTTCTTTTAGTAAATTGATATGAGCAGTTTATTTTTTATAAAGATATTATTTACCAGAATGGGCCCATTATGTCAAAAAGGAGCCATACAAATGACTTTTTGTTAAGTGATTGTATACTTGCAAGCTTTGCTGGCTAGTTGATGATTATAGCCTTATTAAAACAAGTTCTTTTACAATAGAACAGTGTGGCTGGACTGTCAGTTTTGTGTTATTTTGCCAATTTTTATGTTTGAATTCTTATAGGTTGTCTTTACATATGTGAGTTTTAGCTGTTTTATATATTTATTAATTCATCTAATTTTTTACTAATAAAATAAATTGTGCAAGGACATTTAAACTTTTGATTGCACATTTTATAATTTGGCAATTTGTGCTAAAAATCTGAATTTCTTTCAGGATTGAAGAAGTAGATGCCGCTATGAAAGTGATGGAAATAAGGCTTAAAGAACTTAGAGCTAAAAGAAAGAAGTGGAAAAGGTCAAAGGAAAATTGGAAAGCCAAATTTGCTGCCAAAGGAGGAATAAAAATGAGCAAGAAATTGCATAAAGCACAGAAATATTTTGGTTTTCCAATTAAGAAAACTGATGCAAAGTACCGCCGTTATCTGTTGCTTAAAAGCAAGGGCTCTGCTAAACCTGTTGTCAAGTCAGTGAGAGCAGAAAAAGAAAAAGAAGCAGTGCAGTTGTACGCAGAAAGGATGAAAAAAGACCTTTTGGCAGAAACAAACAAACAGCAACAAGAGAACATATGAGTTTATTTTTTGATGAATAAAGACTTTGACATGGTTGATTGTGTTATAGCATAAAAACAACATAGTTAGGCTTCGTTCACATGCAATGTCTATTTTCTATTTTCTATTTTCGGTATGTCTTATGATCACGGTCTGTGCACTGAATATCCCGCCGCGTAATTACTGGCAGCGCGAGCCAGTTACTTATAGTAACTTATAGTAACTGGCTCGCGCTGCCAGTAATTACATACCGAAAATAGAAAATAGAAAATAGACATTGCATGTGAACGAAGCCTTAAAGTATATCTATTCTTAAAATTACTAGTAGCATAGCTTTGTGAAATAGCTTATTTGAGCTCCCCTGATAAGAACAAAAAGGGCATAGTCATATCATCATGTATGTTTTAAAAATTTAAATTTAATTTTTTTTTTTTTTTGTACCCAGTGTATTTTTTTCCATTTGAAAATGACAGTAATAATAATAATAATAGGTACGGTGGTCCTCGTTAACCCACTTGTCAATATAAACACTGAACACTAACTTTCCAGAATTATTTAACTATTTTTTTTTTCAAAAATCTGTTACATTTGAGGCATACTGATCATTGTTTATCAAAAATATTTACTATTACTTGTGTAGATATACCTTAAATGATAAATTTTGTACTGTTCAAATTGGAAAATGTGTTTACTCTATACACTTGTGTTTACTCTGTTTTTCATTTTTCAATTGTCTACTTCCAATGTCAGTATTGCTTTTTTTCAAAATAATAATAATAATAGTATCAGTAAATAGAAAAATAATGAATTCAAAAAGAAACTGTAATGTGAAACAAAAAAGTTTTTGTCTCTCTTCCCTAGGCATTTTTCTTGGAAGAACCCTTTTTACTTATTCTTTATTTCTGTGAAAGACATTCTTTACTTTTCACTGTTAGTTATTTTAGAAAAAACTTTTGTTGGACAACTTATTGCTAAGCTTCAATTCTGCAAACTAATTATATATAACAGGTGTTAAAATCATTTGTATTAAATTTCAATCAAACGTTCATTATGTACAGACACAGACACATTTTCAAGGTGTGATTTTGAACTCCCATAGGCTTGAAGACCTTTGCTAGTCACATTTTCTGAATATCCGTAATACTTCTATTTTATTATTAAAAATTGATGGTCATTATGCTCTTAAGTATAATGTAATATTGCATCAAATTTGAACAAACACCTATTTTGGGCACTGCCTCCTTGGTGACCATTAAAGAAAAATCATGTCACTTACTGTTCTTAAAACTTACAAGAAAGAAACACAGGACTAAAATGCAGCCTGAGTTGGAAAAGCAGTCTAATTGGCTTCTTTTTTTGTTGTACATTTTTGTGAATTTTTTTATCTTTCACATATTGCCATTTTCAATGTGGGACTTAGACAATTAATCATTATGTAATATTGCATCAAAATTGACAAAAAGCCTACTTCATGCACTGTTACCACAAACGTTATGACAAAAATAAAACTGTGTTACTTATCTTTTTTAACTTACAAGAATGATTCTTAGGATTGACATATAGCTCAAATAAGAAAACCAGCTCTATTGGATTATCATTTTTATTGAATTAATGCAATTTTTTGTGAAATTTTCATTATTCTCAATCTTGCATTTTCTAAGGGTGCATTCCCATAGTCCTGCCTACTACAAGCTGTAAAGGGGTAATTAACTTTCGTGCCTGCTCGGCTGACAGCTATTTAGCATGAACCCCCAGGGAGTTAGGTCGATCTAGTTGGATCGATCTAATCTCTGAGAATGGGGTCTAAGTGTGAAGTTGAACTCTCATGGGCCTAAAGCCTTATGCTTTTACTTTCATCATTACGACCTGTTGTGCATAACTAAAATTTGATGTTGACTTTGCATTTTAGCATAATGTATTATTGCATCAGTATTGACAGTTTCCTATTTTGTGCATTATTATTTTCTGCTTTTTGTCTGTACATTTGACAGCTTTGCTGCTTTGTTTATAATACGTTCGATGTTACAAGAAACAAATTTTACTGAATTAGACACCATTCAGAAAATCCTTATTAAATTCTTATGTTTTTGGAATGCCTATGGAAGGTGAACTGACAGCATTTTCATATCTTGGCTTTGGCTTCTTGGTTACTTTGGCTTCTTTTACATCTATTTTTTAACATTTGATGCAATTCAAAATGCTAATTCTCGCTGTTTATAACAAAATTAAAAATGAGAACAAAAACAAAAGTTAATAAATGAAATACGGAATCCAAATTATACCACTAAGGGCAAAGAATTACAGTAGGTCAGACAGAAACTCAAAAGCTCATTACGTATTTGTATGGGATTTGCATTTGTTTTTAACTGAGTAAGTGTAAATGAATGATGGTATCAAATTTCAACACCAAACATTTTGCCGTCATTGTAATCCATTACGTCAGCTTTGACGTTCCGTGCGTAACAAAACGTCGTCATGGATATAGAATGAGAGGAAATAAGCGAAGTGCAGTAAATATTATTTTAATTTTTTGATTTCCAAAACTGAAATGAAACGCAAGAGAAGAAAAGAAGAAAGATATAAACGAATGGAAAATGATATCAAAACCATAAAAGAAGGAGTTGCAATGATTTTTGACATAATGGACAAAAACCAGGCAGCGTTGAAGAAAATGAGTCACCTCAGTAATAACACAGAGACCCACATGGATACTTTGACAAATAGTCTGGAACATCTTATTAACAAACTCGGTAAGCGTGTAGGCAAGAACAGCAACATTACAATCTCAGATAAAATGTTTACTATTCTACGTAATGTAGCCAGGGAAGTAGTGAAACTGATTAGCATTGGTTGTAGTGTATTCCTGCCAGACTATTAAATATTAGGACCTATATAGGCCTAAGTTTTGTTTTGAATTCCATATTACTAATTTTATTTGCTCGTTAAAATGTGCATATTTTGACGTAAAGATTCAAGAATTTTCAATGGTAAGCAAACCATCTACCCATCGAATTGGTGAAGGACAAGAGCTTAAAACTGCAGTCGCCTGAATTGCAATATTATTTTTGGCACTTTCAGCGATCTGTGAGGATGATTTTAACGCAAAAGAACATGCTCGCAAAGCCCTGGAGCATACTTTGGCTGAAAAGCAAAAGGAATGGATGCTAACCATTTCAGAACGAGAACTGAAGGAAGAAACTCTTGCACAAGAGATTACACGTTTGAAAAAGGCACTTAGTGAGTTGCAATTACTTTTATGAATTAGGCCTATTACGAGAATAACTTAATTTCTTTTTTACGGGTATAATACAACTATAATCATTTTATTAAATACATGAACAAATTGTTAACGGTAAAATAAAAGAAATTTTGCGTTTAATTTATTTTGCAAAATCTTTTAAGAAGTTATATCACAAGAGTTGCCCCGATGAAACCAACATATAGGTTTACAAAGGCTCAAACTTGTCATGATTTATAAAAAGTATTTTTGGTTTACGGAGTCCTTACCTTTTATAATGTTGTTTTTTCATAATTGTTATATACAATGTGTCCACTCAGTAGCATAAAATCCATTAAAATGATGAATGGCGTGATATTTATTATGCCACAACGTCACTACGTCAAATATAAGCATACACCGCTACTTTTGATGGGGTTATCGACCATAATTGTTCATTTTTGTGATAGAAGCATGAAACTTCGCCAGATTTTTTATATTAAAGCAATTAATATCTACGGTAATCTTTATCGACTACTAAAAATTTGTATAATATTTAATGTATATCTCTGAAATGTTTGACGGACCTACGTTCTGTGACGAGTTTATTATTAGATCGCTTCACTTTGTTTCTGAACATCAAAAGAAACATGAGGAATTCAATATATAGTTTTAGAATTTCTACTGGCTTCTGAGAAGAATTGTAATAACTTTAATCATGACTCGTTTTTTCCCGTTGCTAAGGACTTGCTAAAATCAAATTTTAGGTGAACGTCGGATGGAATGCGATGAGAATGTTAAAACCAGCATTACTTCAACCACGTCGTCGAGTAAAATAGATGAAGTAAATAAGGTTGGATATTAATTGAAAGAAAGTTTATATTACTACATAAGATTCATATAAAGTATTTGATGTTTCGAACGGTATGGTGTCGTTTAGTGAGCGACTGTCCTAGCTCTGAAGATATTTAAAAAAATTCTATGCACCTTGCGCAAAACTAATTGTTGGAGTTTTTCCCCTTTATATTTCTCAATACCCTCCCTCTATAATGTAATTTTCCCTGTAGTTTTTAACCTTGCATAACCTGTACTTGTTATTATAATTATTATTTTGCACGCACTGGCCTCGTTGCAAACTCAAAACGCAATCTGTCAACAGCGATTCCAAAGTTTGTTGTAACCAAGGAGTATAACAGTCTGTTATAACTCCTTGTTGTAACATAATAAAATAACATTTACTAACTTAAAGACAAAGTTCTATGCACACTACTGGTATGAAACAATTTTTAAGTCTCATCAAAATAAATAGTAAGAAAGACACTCATGAAAAATGCACAAAGAAAAAACATCCAAGGTCCTTACGTAACGTCACATCAGTGTATTTTTATTTCCAGACTACAGCAAATACGAATTTAGAAGACATGGCATTTCTCATCCAGGAACGTGATGAACTAAAGCAGAGAGTAGAATCATTGTCAGAATCAGTGAAATTCTATGAGCGAATCCACGGTCCTGTTCCTGGAAGCAGAAGCGGCGACATGGTGCCATTCAACGTGAACCACAGTTGCAGGCCAACGCTGCTCAGTCGAGAAAGGTTTACACACCCGGCAGGGAGGTTCCACTCGGACTCTCTGCTTCCCATGGGGAACGTATTTGGCATTGGTCACGTAGTTACATCTGGTGGGAGATCTACAGACTCTGGTGGTAGGTGTACTGCCAGCGTGCCCAGCATGAACAGTCAGGATAAAACAGATAGCAACAAATTAGAAGCTAATAACTCGAAAAAGTGCTCAGCATGGGGAAGATTGATCTATAGGGCCTAAATGATGTTTTAAACATGTGACGATGTGATATAGATCTCATCGAAGTATTGCGATCCATTGTTTTGAAATTTTCAAATGAAATTACAAGAATACAAATGAGAACCGATGCGTAAAACATGATTTCTTTGGGTCTGATGAATGATTATGTATGTTGTAAATGAAAGCAAAGACTGCTTGTTAACCCAAGGAGCTGAAGGAGGTGTATTCACTTCTTTGGTTAATTAAACTGAATGGTTTTCACATAGATCATAAAGAAAGCACCGAGAAAATCAGAATTATGAATAATGAAAACTATATATTTCCTTATGTAGAAGGGGTGATGTGGGGGATCAAGGAATTTGCTGCCGAACCAGTTTCTTGGGAAGCGCTTGCAGTGGTGGATTTAAGGGGGGTGTCAGGGGGCTCCTGATCCCCTCTTCGATTTCTGAAAAAAATCGCACTAATATTGCCCTGTTAAAATTAAAATTTTGGCTAGCTGAATCATATATAGTCTTAACCGTACCAAATGGCACCGTTCGCCCTCTAAAGTACCAAAATTTTTCGGGGACCCTCAGCGGGCCCCGAACCCCATGGCGAGGGGGGGGGGGTTGTCCGCTTCGCATCCGCGGCCCCCCCCCCCCCCCCCTTTCAAATAATCTTGGATCTACCCCTGGCTTGATTTGTATATGGAAATCTGGAAGTAGGTGTATTGTGGCTGTGGGCATAGAGACCATTCCCACAGATATTTAGATCGATCTATCCCCCTGGGGAGTCTCACTAGATTGCTGTCAGCTTAATCGACTTAAATGTCTGTCTCGCCTACTAAAAGCTGTAAGGGGGTAATGAACTTTTGTGCGCGCTCGGCTCCCGGAAGCTGGCAACTATTTAGCGTGAACCCCCAGGGAGTTAGGTAGATCCAGATGGATCAATCTTAATATGTGGGAGCCCAGTCTTAGTAACTGAAGATGTCTTGGAAATATTATTCAAATGCCATTTCATTTGAATTTCCATTTCATTTGAATAATAAATTAATATCAACATGAGTCACTCTACTTAAAACTTGAATGACAAATTATGTTTTTGTATGCTTGAAGCTAAAAAATTTTTAATTGGCATAGGCCTACTCGTACTGTAAAACTGCTGGGTAAAGGCCTACGAGTTAATAAGAGAAAAACTGAAAAAAAAAAAAGTAATCATCTTCCTATGCATTATTCTGTATTTTACATAGCATTTCCGTTTCTCTATAGCGTTTCAATCACTTCAGGATATCTTTATCCGAGTAAACCCATCTTTTCAGCCACCTTTTCAACTTAAACCATAACGGTGGGCGGAAGAGATATCAAGCGAAACTCAGGGTGCTAACCAGCTAATAACCTGCTTAGTTCCGGAAAAATGACACCCCAAAATTTGCTTACAGCAATCTCAGTGTTTGAGACAATAACAGATAAGAAAATAAACTTTTAAAGTAACAAATATCTGTGCCGTTTCAATTTAAATTTTAATCAATTTCGACAAAACAATTATCTAAGTGTAAATAAATAACCATCATTACTCAAACATACCAGTCGGAACTAATCTGAACGTTGAGCGAAAATGCCTGCTCCCGTGGTTGCTGTGAACGCCTTGCTGGCTTCGGGACAATATAAACCACTTCTCGCAATTCTGAAAGGGTTCAGAAATGGCGCAGTGTAAGTTTTTAACACCAATTTCCAGATAAGTATTTGACTCAGTTGCAGTGCAATAAAGGCGAGCAATGAAACTTATTCTTACTCAGGCTGTACCGTACAGTCGACCACAGTACAGTGTAGGTTTGGTAATCTTTAAATGTTGGTTTTGTATTCACATTGTTATCTCAGTTGCAATTACACATACGTTGAACTTAACTGCTACAATGCTGATATTTCGTTCCAGCTATGGAGCCAAGATCCGCGCCCCACACTCTTTGGTGATGACTTTCTTGTTCAGAAGTGGCAGGTGCGTTAGTTGAACCTTGACCTGTGTAAAGCCTCTGCACAATTTGCGGGTTCAAAGATACACGAATACATGTTCAAATACTGCATGTCTGATATTGTGTGCTGCGATATTAAAACCATTGAAATTTCAACAATGTCATGGGTATTGCCTTTTTTATTCTTAAAAGAATGCTTGGTGCTCATTAGCAGGATATAATCCAGGATCATCTAGGGAAAAGAAACATGTTCCTCTTTTTTTCCTCTTTATTGATGTTTTGTTCCCATCTATGTTACAAGTTATGGCTGGTGAATGGTACCATGTGGTTACAATAATGTATTGAGATAGTTATGGATTTGTTTCTTCATTTTGAAGCTTTTAAAAATTATTGATGGAACTTCCTGAAACAATGTATTATTCACTTAGATTCAGCATCTGAACACACTTGCCAATATTGCTTGCATCACTTTTTATTTTTCTTTCAGTTTGTATGAGAAATTTAGGGCAATCCTTGAAGCCACATTTACACATTCCAAGAACCTGGCAAGTTTTGTGTTTGGTTACAAAACAATTACTACATTGTTAAGGTGGCTGCAGTCAGAGCAACTTCAGTATCACTCTTTTATAGCCGCTTTTGTCACTGGCTACTTTGTGTTTGGAAAATACAACAAAGTCAATGAACAGGTAATTTGATTGCTACATGTATCATATATATACAATAATAAATTACATCATTGTCAATCAGAAGTAAGTAGTAAGAACTTTTTTGTGTAATGATAATAATTACAGTAGGTAAATAGGGATTTGATCAAAACATCTGAAACATATCTAAAAACTACTTAAAACTTCAAGTTGTGTTTGCCCTTTGGTTGTCAGTTACTGTAAATGAAATGATCTACAGTAGTCATGTTCATCTGTTTTCAGATCAATCTGTATTTGCTGTCTAGGATATTATATGGACTGGCAAAGCTGGCTGTAAAAAGAAGGTACATACCAGAACCACAATTCTCTACTTTCCCTTGGTTTGCTGCCATTGTTTGGGGAATAGTCTTGTGGCTGTTTGAATATGAAAGAGACACACTGCAAGGCTCTCTAAGATCATCCATGACGTACCTTTATGATGACAGTAACGTATGGCATGATATCACAGACTTTCTTATATATAACAAACCACCAATTAAAAACTGATGGAGGGTAAAATCATATATTTTTCTTTGTTTTATATTTTGTCCAAAGGTCCAAAATTGTTTGTCACTGCTATATATATGAGTATCTTGTTGAAAACCTCTAATTTATATATTACAGGAACTATTTCTGTGGAAAATATTGAGTGTATATAGATTTCTGACAATTAATTCCCTTTTTAATATTATGTAACACAAAGTTGTAGTTGTTTGTATTGGAAAGTTCCAGAAAGTCTTGGTTGTACAAAGGACTAAGGTTACTGCATTCATCATGAATTTAAATGATTTTCTCTTATTGGACGAATAGGGTTACTGAATGCCTTAATGATGTATTTTCAACTGGTTTTGAAAAAATTCAAAGTAATCATTTCTAGTCTGTGATCATTTCTCAGGGTAGCTTTTCAAGTTGGCATAGTTTTATTAGTAAGCATTACTATATCAGATGTCAAGAAATTATGCTACTTTTTTATTAGTAATTATTGTTTTAGCCTGTAAATAACAGGTTAACCAGTGCTAATTGCCTATGGTAATAAACATGTATACATGTACAAAAGACATCTATAGATTTATTGGAGACATCCTTATTGCACATTACATTTGTTGAATTTTAGTAAATGACACAAGTTTTTAGATTAAATAGGTATGTTTATAAAGGGAAGCTAATGGGATGTGTGATTTTAGGTATGAGTTGATGGACAACTCCTCGATTATCATTGAATTGGGTATCACATATGTGCAGATGACATCTTATTATACTCTGTGTATTTATGAGACTGGGGATGCAATAACCAAAATGATAAATGCTATGGTTAAATAGGATTTCTGGTTATAACCCAACCACACTATAAACACTTAGCTGAAAGATTATCTGTACAGATGGGATCTTCCAAAGTAGGCATTTCATCCCATGCAAAAAAAAACAAAAAAAAAACAAAAACATAGATAAACAGATATTCAATAAAATATTGTGCACTGCCATGGTCATCCATGCTATTCCTATAACTTAAAAGCTTGATTACTGTAAATCATTGCTGTAGTGGTTGCAGTATGTGAAGACCAAAGAAGCTCCAAAACATCCAAAGATATTGGTATATACGTACTTTATGCAAAAGAATCAACACAGTACGTGCCTGTTGAAGAAAAAGTACTTAAAAACTTAATTTCAGATCTTGTGTTAAAATGTTACCTTGGCATTTAACAATAATAAAAAATATGTGTGTGTATGTGTTTTATAATTATGAAGATAATTTTACCATAAAAATTACTTTCTAAGAGAGTTTCCTTTATTTATTTTCCACATGACAGACTGCTTGGTCTGCTAAATTTGTAATTTTGAAGACCTGCAGTTGAGCTGTGCCACATGTACTGAGTATATATTATTACTTGTATGTGCCAATTAATACCAGTGGTGGATTTAGGGGGGGGGGTCAGGGCGGTCCTGACACCCCCTTTGATTTCTGGTCCCCTCTTGAAATTAGAATTTTGACTAGCTGAATCATAGTTCCAAACCGTACCAAATGGCACCCTTCAAAATACCAACATTTTTCTGGGCCCTTCATCGGGCCGAACCCCATGCCAAGTTGGGGGGGGGGGGGTTCACTTCCACGGAACCCCCTACAAATAATCCTGTATCCGCCCCTGAATACTTTCAGTGCATGCTAGAGGTTGATAGATCCCAATTCCAACCAAAGGGGCAATTATCACAGAAATATACGTAGGCAGATAAATCGCTTCGACGGCCCCCTTAGCCTTAGCAGCTGATTGTCGACCGGCGCGTTTGTTTCATAATACAAATACAAACAGTGATGTTACCAGCTTTAAAAAGGCATCTCTTGTTAAATATATAAATATAAAACTCAATAGAAATAATCTAATTTTAATCAAGTAATTTTGTGTATATAGAACCCCTTTTGAAACTAGGGTTTAAAGATGATAATTGATCTGCGCATGCGCAAAAAACTTTTAGAGTATTCTGGGATAGAAAAGTTCTTTGTCAGCGGCACATTGTGAAGGGTTCAAACTTTTCTTTTCGCCCATAAGTGAAGGAAAGTGCACGTGGCCAACAACAAAGATTAGCAGGTAAATATGAACACAGTACCGAGATAATATACAGACTGGTTTAAAAAAAGGAAAAAATTGTTTTGTAACCTTTGTGAAAGTTTCGCGGATTATCCGAGAGATCAATAACAACCCAGTGTCACTGCGCAGTGGCAATGGATCAAGGTGATGGGCATTCCGAAAGCTATCTAACATGAACGTAAACAGGGTCCTGTGCTAGCTTGTAGATTATGAAAGTATTACTATACTTTGTGGGAATCTACACATAACCTGTGTTGAATCCCGAGGTGTTAATTTACGTCGCGTTACCATTTTTAGTCATGATGACTTGAAGTTCCATGTCTTCACGATTCTAACCAGAAGTCGGCACAGCTGCCGGTTGACTGCGTACAGTATACACGCAGGTGAACGAGAAAGAAAATATTTAGGTTGCCTTCCAAAATTACAACTTATTAAATTTATCTGGTATTATTTCAACTTGTCTTCAGTTATTTGTCTTTTTGTCATGTATGTTATTCATTCTAACTTTATTTATATTTTTATGGAGAATGATAGCCCACATGTCCAGGAAAAAGTAGAATAGTTTTGTTTACTCTGGCAAAATTGGGTGTTCTTTTGTTCCATTTGATTGGTCTGCTGATATAACATCAAAACTCATGTTGATTTTTATTACTTAACCTTTATTGAATTAACAATTATGAGTGTAAGTAAAATATTTACAGCTATAAGAAGTACAACTTTCATCTCCTAACTTGTTAGAGATCATGACCCTTCCAAAACTTCAATTCATTTTTTTCTGAACTCCTGGTATCTGCTGAACCTACCTTACAACTTAATATCTTTTGCTTGTATATCATCTACCAATATTGGTACACCATGAAAAGTAATTTCCTTTTAATCTCTATGTATAGTATGATAATGTAAGATGGATGAATGTTAACATTTACTGAAGTTGTTGAGTACAGCTGGATAGCACTGTATCTCATTTTTATGAGTAAATAGAAGTTTTAATGGTCTTCTGCTAAAGTAATATTGCCTGTTTTGTAAAGTACAGAAATGTGAGATACACAGCCAAATGTATTGGAAATAATGTTGTCAGTTACAAGGCTTCTAGAAGGATGAAAATCAATACTGTTAGTTTTCTGGATAAATTTGACAGGACAGAATATTATTAGTGATGATAACTGACTGGAAATAGAACTAGTGTTTTTAGGAGTAAGTTAAACATATAAGTTGAAGCATAAAATATAATGTTTACTAAATAATGCAACAGTTTACAGTACTAGTATAAAGGTGTCTTCTAATTATAAGACTTGTAACTAATTTTGAAAATGAACCCGTTAGTATTTTATACAATTAGTAATTGTAATTTTCCTTAAAATGGTAAATGTTGCCAGAAACTTATTCAGTAAATAATTGTAAAATAAAGTGTACATATCTTCTGGAACATTTAAAGAACATATCCTGCTTTCTGTCTTTTGTATTATCAGAGGGTTTTATTGCTAACCATATAAAATAAGCTTCCTGTTCCTTTTAAAAAGTTTTACTTCCAATTCAAATAGGGAAACTAGAAACTGTATTAAGACAGATTTTAATGTCTATAATCTTTTAGTATGCTCATAACGAGTAGTATGCAAATTTTATATTCAATCTGCAGTATTGAGACCAATGGGGTGATTTATTCTTACGAGCCTTGAGTCCTGGCACAATGTATAAAATCAATATATTTTGTACCTCTGCACCATTTTCCTTGCAGTGAATATCTTCCAGCAAGCTTCACTATCATGGTCGAAGTTCTATCTATATCCTAGATCTATTTATAACACACAGCGTGGCAGGTGTTTTGAAAAGTATTTCCCCAAATCTGAGGGCAGTGTAAAGTACTTGTACTGAGCTTGACTTTATTACACTTAAAGTTGACCCAATTTTAAAAGTTATCACAGCAGTCATTATACGTGTTGCTTTTAATCATCTGCAGGTAAGTGAACTGAAAGTTGTAGCAGCCATTTTAGCCAAGAGGGGATCATGGGAGAGACTGAGCATGCCCAGTATGCTTTTGAACAAAGTGTTTCTCAAGTGATCCAATTTAAATAAGACCCAAGTGAGGTAAGGCTCCACCAAAAGTGGAGCATTGACCCCACATAATTGTTCTTGTTCTGAGAGTAACAATTAGGTTCGACTGAGGTAATAGTATTTTGTCTTTCTTTAACTCATTTTTGAGAGGATGAAGTGTCACTGGTTTTTGAACACTGTCCAGACCTTTATTTTCCTCTATCCAAGGAAATGTATGTCTTGTGCTATGTCAATTGTTGGAGTTAGTTTATGTGTTTATTGTAATTAAATTTAAATAAAGTGGCCTGAACAAAGTAAGAAATATTTGTTTGTAGTTTACAGGTGCCATATGTATATATATGTATGTGCATGCAAAAATGCCAGCACACAAAACACATCCTGTGTGCCTTAATTGTAATCAAATATATAGTTCTGTGGGTGCAATGATGTTTGCACAAAAACAATATATATTGCTGCGTTTCAGAGTTATGAGATGTACTAGTATGTTATATTTTTTGTTGCACAATGCCCCTTTTGTACTCCTTTCATGTGTATTAGTCTGTCCAAAACTAAACAAGGGGCATTTCACAGTACATTCCTGCTCCTTACTACTCCCCTCTAAGAAGAATGCACAGTCTGCTTAAAGAGGTTGCACATTTTATGTAGAAGATTCTGTGGAATGGCTGTTAGTATGAAAGTTATTTTAAATTTGTAATTTATCTTAATTTTTTACTTATATTGTAGCAATGAGTTCTAGATCGAGGCGTAAGCAAAGTCTAGAGCCAATGCTGATTGAAGAACTACCAAACAGCAGAACAAGGCGGTCAACACTGGGACCAACAGAGAGTAAAAATGACCAGAAACAGAGCGGCAAGGCAGGGGAACAAACAAGCAACCGTAAGGCAGTTACCTCCGCTGTAGTTGAG